AATCTGACGTTCCCAGGTCACTGCGTGCTCGCGGCAGGCCAGGGCATCGCAGTTGCAGTTGGGGGGGGGGGCTTGCGCTTAAGGTAATTTAAGGTATTTTTCGCAGACGATTGATCAAAGCGTGTATTGGGCAGTCAGTGTCGCACTCTTACTCTTAGGTTTTTTCGGTAAAGTCAAGTAGGTAAAAAATAATACCAAATTAAATGAAAATAAATCAATTAATTTTTCAATTAATTGATTTATTTTCATTAAAATAAAATAATAACAAATGAAAAGAAATCTATTAATTGATTTCTTTTCATTTATTATTATTTTATTTGTATTATTTTTTACCTACGTGACTTTACCGAAAAAACCTAAGAGTATGAATCCTTGCAGTCACGAAAGCTTCAAATCTACAATTAGTGTCGCACTCGTTACACACACGAAGCGCTGGCCACAAATGAACCACCATACTTCGCCGATCTCAAGGAGTATAAACCATCATCACGCGACACTCCGGTGGTCATTCTCGCAGCAGCAGCAGCGGCAGCGGCTTTCGACTCAGCCGTCGAACAAAGATGTAGGTCGCCGCGTAGCGCCCTCTCAGATGGCGCTTCTGCGGCCGTCTGGAACGCTCTTCCTTCCAATATCAGGAAGCCACTGGAGCTATGCACTCGATTCAGGTTGTTGTCCTTCCCCCGCACCTCCGATTAGCGCGGTTGGCTACGTACGGCGCGAAAGAAGTTCAACGTACGCAATTGGACACTCAACTGATGCCACCGCGGTCTTCCAGCAGAGTCTTTGTTTGGACTCGACACGGAGAGATGCGACGGCTGTGAGGTGGGATGAGGAGGAGGAGGCGGGCTTGTGCCAGTGCCACGATATCTCCCGTCTTCTCCCTCTGACCCTCTCCCTACCCCACTCTCTCTCTTTCTTGACGATCAGAGAAAATTAGAAGATGCTCGGTGTAGTCGGCACTTTGCTTCGTTCATCATTTCGGTGTTTTTGTTCAACGCTTTGCTTTATGTGCCCCCCCCCCCCCTATTTGAATGAAAGATTTCACGAAAGATTTCAAGCTCTACTCCTTCTTCTTACCCCTTCTCTCTCTCTACCCCCTCTCTCTCTACCCCCTCTCTCTCTACCCCTTCTCTCTCTACCCCCTCTCTCTCTACCCCTTCTCTCTACCACCTCTATCTTTAAAAAAATATGGAACGCTTCACGAATTCGCGTGTCATCCTTGCGCAGGGGCCATGCTAATCTTCTCTGTATCGTTCCAATTTTAGTATCTGTACTCTCTCTACCCCTCTCTCCCTTCTCTCTCTCTACGTCCCCCCTGTCTCTCGCCCTCTCTCTCTCGAAGTCTCCCGACCTTGGCAAACCTGCTCAGTTGCATTTTCGCGGGCGTCTGAAAATTGCGCGCGGTTCCGCGATCTTTATTTATTTATGATTCTTTATTAGTATTACTCCATCGCAGGGCACGCTGCCGTGCGCGCAGATGGTCACCGCGCTCGACTCGCGATGCAGAGGCCACCGCTTGACCTTCGATCTCCCGGGGGGGGGGGGGGTTGGGGCACGGGGGGGGGGGCAATTAAAAAAATCTCCACCCCCACCCCACCGCCCCCTCCATGCTTCTGTCCACCCAGCAGTATTAATGGGTCAGAGGCTAGGATTTGGCGTGCGGTGGTGGGGTAAAGTGTGGGTACTCCGACACGTCTAGCCCAGCGTGGATGAGGAGGCCACATACCATCCTCTATCGGTGCGGCTGCTACTCGCTAACAGTATTTGTGAGTCTTGTTAAGGCTATACGGGGGGGGGGGGGGTCAGTGGCGAGCGATATCTGAACCGGCCCTAGCCCCGACCAGCATAGTGAAGTATGACTTTGCCCCGTAATGGACAATATTATTAAGATGAAAGAGAATCGTAGTATACATAAACTCCTATAGTATACACCACAGTAATACACGTTGTCTGTGTGTACGCTATGGTATGTTGCGTGCATTCAGGTGGCGTTGGCGAATTACGTAAAGTAGTGATAATAAGCACCTCCATGTAGCGGTTCTCATTTTTGTTACGTTTGCCAACCGCAAAGTTTCCCCACAATTTGCCACTCTGCCCCAGTGATGACGAGGGCTCCGTAATTACGTGCTTTGTAAAAAAAAACATATTTGAAGAGGCAGAGGGAAAGAAAAAAAACACAGCACCTTCGTCAAGAGCACCACGACCCCGAAAGGAGCAATACGCAGGGTGGCCCAAAAGTCAGGACACATCCCGACCCTGACGTCTACATAATTGTAATGTGCGTATCTCTCTCTCTCCGTGGTCGCGTGGATTTTTCTCCGGGTCCTCCGGTTTTTCCCTCCACATTTAGAAACGTGCTTTCAGAGTATTTGGCTGCTATACAGTGTACATTTCCACGTGATGATAAGCTACTTCTTTGAGCTATTATATGTGATAGCCAGGTCGCTTTTTGACAAATAAAATAAAAAAAATAGTTACGTTTGTATTTTTTGTTCATGAAAAAATAGGCGTTTGCATTGCCTTAGTGCTGTTCGCATTTTGGAATGTTGGTGGTCTAATACTGGTGCAGAGACAAGGCCATAGAGGAGGCTGTCTTCGGTGTGGGCCAATCAATGTCAAGGGCAATGCATACATTATGAGCAAAGCATGTTTGTTTCCATGCTTTACCACAAGCATGTGCGGTTGATGCCCACTTGATGCCTTGCAATCGTTGTCAATATGGTGGTTGAACATCTCAACACCTGTATTATATATATTTTTTTACGCATAGAGTCAATATTTTTTTTTGAAGAAATGACAGGGATATTTCAAGGCTCCCCCTGCTTGCCCCACACTCGCTACGCCGCTACTGGAAGTAACCCTCTGTGTCCAGACGTATGCCCCCCCCCCCCCCCCCCCGTGTAATGCACCGACTTTGGCGGCGGCCGTTTATGTGGACGGCAAAACAGGCGGCGGTTGCTTCGTGCCCCCCCCCCCCCCCGGCCGTGGTATTTGACCTCATGACCTCCGGGTTGTGAGCCATTTACTCCGTACCACTCCCACGGGCACCGTGAGCGTGGCGTAGCACGATTTTCGCTTGTGAAATTTTCTACATTTTCTCCCATGTCCGACCACTCCCCGCGCATACACGGTACAGTGCCTTCACGCTCGACTTCGCCCATGACTTCACGATCTTGGCATCTTATCGCCCCCCCCCCCGCGCCCCCCCCCCCCCAAGATGTCACCTCCCACAAAGTGAACCCTTTTCCCTCCTCTCTACGGCTGGACTTTGCGCACGAAATTTCATTGTCCCGATCCCCATCACCGTCGTTAAATTCATTCCTCAAGATGAGGCATCCCCCGCCGCCGAAGTAAAAACTCCTAGGCCAGGGCTTTTTCCCTTGCGGCACAGGAATTGACGTTTTCTCGAAAAGCTTTGCACGCCACTGCCAATTACTGCCGATTATTTACCACCGGGGAAAGGGAAAAAACGATAACTCACTACGTCTCAAGACGGCATGCTCCTGTTACATTGAGGCTTTTGGCTAATTGCATCCGTGAGTGGTTTGGCATTCGTGTGGGAGGAGAAACCGGGAGAAAACCCAGCATTGTGCTGTATACGAGGGGGTTGGGGGGGGGGAGACACCACTGCTACCTCCTGGCCCACACTTCAATGTTGTTGTTGAACTTCTGGGCCCTTCCGGCCCTTTGGGCCCCTGGTGCAGTTGCACAGCCTGCACACTCGATAACCACACCGCTGTTTTCACATTTGAGTTTGTATCTCTCTAGTATTGGTTGTGTGTGTGTGTGTGTATATGTGTATGTTGAACTTGTTTTGCGCCGTACATAGCCAACCGTGCTAATCGCCTACAACACCTGGCAAGCCCAAGTACAGTCGTCACCTCTGCAAGGAACCAACCAGGCTAAAGCGTGCTTAGCTTCCGACATCCGGGGTGATTTGATCGCAGGCGTCCACGACGTGATGACATATTATGATGGCTCTTCTTCTTTATATCAAATAAATGGTCACTGCCCGAAACGTCGCCAATAATGTAGGTTTTTTTTTTTCCTTTTAAGGCCACAGTGTCATTGACGAACATGTTCAGTTTTGTTATTTGTGCTTGTGCACCAATGCAATTTCACCAAATGATGTAGTCTTGTTTTAAAATTTAAACGGACGAGACAAAGAGTTGGCAAGGTGACGTGTCCGTGCATGCGCCTGTGCACGGACAGAAGGACAGTGTGTGTGTGTGTTTTTTATATAAAGTGTTGTGATACAAATCGTAAATAATCACTTATAGGCGTTCATCAATCCGCTGCTGGATGTACGAGGGCCTCTACACGGAGTTGTGAGAGTTGTTTGGCCACACATCATCACGGATGCTTGGTGGCGGGTTGGTGACTCAGGACCAGGTTCAGGTGCTACCTGCCATCGACGATAGCCCGTGGCCGGGAATCAAAAGCAGGTCTCGGGCGGTTTCTTAGCGCACGATGCTTAACCACTGCGCCACCACTCCCAACCCATTCGTAGAGTAATCGGCACATAATAACCCACGCAGGACTGTGTCGTTGGCAGCAGAGGGCACTACAGCAAAATCCATTGTTGTAATGTGCCACGTCCCCCGCATCTACACCTCCCGCCTTAACCAACGCACACTGACCAGGGTGGTGAAGTATGATCAAACAACCCCCCAGACCAACACGGAATTAATTCACAGTGCATTGACCTAAGGTTGTGATTATTACCTATATATCTAAATCAGCTTAAGCCTCCCCGAGATCACGTGACTTCTGTGTGGCCACCCCCACTCTGAACCTCTCCCATCTCCCAGCTGCCGCCCCCTGTGGAAACAGACTCAGCAGCAGCAGCAGCAGCGTCGAGTCCCTGATCCAGCCTCTTCCTTCCTCTCCCCATTTATCCTCATCTTGTGCTCCCATTACTCCGTTACAACTTTGACTGTTCCCCTTCGAAGAAAAAAAAGTTGCCCGTCACAATACTTATTGTTGTTTGTTTCTTGCAGATGAGTCGACCCTGGATGACAAACCGTTCTCAGCGCCCATGCACGGTGAGTGATGCAACGAAGCCTCCGAAACCGTCGGCGCCGAGAATAGATACACAGTGCACGCTTTTAACGTACCGGCAATCGCCGTCGACTCCACGATCAACCCCGGAGGCCCCGTATCCCCACTCGCTGGAGGCTTGGGCACAGGCGGACGTGGGAGAAGGTCCCGATTTGTGAACACCGAGAGCAGGTGACGGCTTACACCGTCGCATGCGTAAACAACAGGTGACTGGACTTCAACAAGAAATAAGGCGCAAACCGCCTTGAGCGTGGGGGACGCGCACTCTGCTGGGCGTTGGATGTCGGTAAACGTACGCGAGGTTTGGAACGCGCTTGAGTGCCGTACGTGCGCGGGTTTCGGGATTCGTGAACACGAGTAGAAACGTGCATTCACACCGCGCGCGACCCTGCGACACTGGGGGTGGCATAGGTTCATTGGTCCAGGGTGGTAAATGCGTGACATTCGGGTATCCAACTTTGGGCTGTGCTATAAAACCAATGGTCTCTCCGAAATATTTGTCGAGCGTGCCCCCCCCCCCCACAGCCCGTCTCCACCCCTGCCCCCCACGGACGCAGGCTACTCCGACATGCTCTGCAGCTTCGGGGTGGTCAATGTGTGACGTTCAAGTACGCAACGTTTTGCTGTGCTATGAAACCAACGGTCTCTCCGAATAATGTTGACCCTGCCGCCCCCCCCCCCCCCCCCCACTGCAGGCTGCCGCGACATGCTGTGCGGCTTCGGGGCGACGTGCGAGGCCAACGGTCGCAACGCGAGCCGCGGGGTGTGCCGCTGCACGGCGCGCAACTGCGCGGGCCTAGTGGCGCCCGTGTGCGGCTCGGACCACGTCACCTACGGCAGCGAGTGCGAGCTCGAGAACGCCATGTGCTCCATGCAGCGGCGCATCAAGGTCATGGGTCGCGGGCCTTGCGGTACGACTCGCGCCGCTCGTCGTCCTCCTCCGCCGCCACTGCTGGCGTCGATGGATTCTCTGCCAATCAGTTTTGTTTGGGTGTTTTTTTTCTCTTTCTCTCTCCCAAGTTTTTTTTTTTATTTCGATCGTGCTATCGTGCCGTCGTGTCACGAGGCGTAGAACCCGTTCGGAGCACTCGCAAAGCAGGGAAACCCTCGGTCTTAGACAACGGCCCTCGGATGTGGATATCACAGAGCTTGCCTCTGAGTCCCTCTTCAAGTGATGGCTGGTCTGCACAAGTAGGGGGTGGCACTTTCCCACCCGTTCTGCATATACGCGAGCAATTGTTCGTCACCCGATGGTCAAACCGGTATATTTCATTCTCACAGCTGGAATTCGGCCGTAAAATTGAATGCGGAACCAAATTTAATGTGATGGGTTTTTTTGGTCTAGTAATTCATACCTGTCAACCTTTTATCAGTCCATACCTTATTACAGACCAATTCAGACCTTATTGGTCACCCCGTGCCCTTATAAATCTCAACATGCATCCAACAAAGTCCCATCACAAGGGAGAGAGATAAATAAGTAGACAAAAAAATGTTTGACCGTATTGAAACGGCTGTACGCCGTGTGGACCTGAAAACTCAATTTCCCTGTACAAGAATCAGGGGGAAACCATGTGGGTTGACACGGTATGAGTAATTGGTGACCGGCTGAGACTATCGGACTCACTACCCTTTGAGAACCCGGCTTGAACTTGGATCTCGGCAGTGCCAGCTCAACGAGCTGACCTCACAGCCACGCAGTCGCCCCTTCACAGTTGTAGTCGTGCTGTCGGCATCGAGTCAAGAGATGAAGAATCCTTTCAAAACTCTTGCCCCGGGCTCTGCACTCCCCCCCCCCCCCCTCCCTCTGATTGCCTGCCGGCCTGTAGATACGCAGTGTGCGGTGTTCGTAAAGTTTTAATTGTGGAAACTGGCCGGTGTTTATGCCTTGTTCCCCGCACTTGCGTTTGGTTAATTGCTGTGAGCAATGCGGTGGGAACCCACCCTTTCACACACTCTGTCCACCCTTTACGCTCGGCTGTTTGAAAATACTCATACAGATGTGCTGAACCCAATGCAGAAGGTCCCTGGATTTGATTATCCGCGAACCTCATGGGCCGCAACCCTAAACCGCATCCACCACACAAACCATGGGTAGCAGCAGATGTAGCCACGCAAAAGTCACGTGATTTACAGGAGGCTTGAGCTGATTTAGATGAATAGGTAAACTCTCTCGGACGGTTGAAACACGCTGTACGTACGGTTGGACGTCTTTCGCACCACTACGTAGCCAACCGTGCCAACCGCCGTCCGGTCCGCAGGTGCCAAGGACCCATGCGAGGGCGTGCGCTGTGGCTTCGGGAGCGTGTGCGTGGCGTCCGCCGGTCTGCAGCGGGCACGCTGCGTCTGCCCGACGGAGTGCCCCCCCTCCTCCTCCTCCTCGTCGTCGTCCTCGTCCGGCACCGTGTGCGGCAGCGACGGGCGGGACTATCCGTCCGAGTGCGAGCTCAACCGCCAGGCCTGCGGCGCCGGCAAAGTCATCTACAAGGTGTTCGACGGGCCCTGCGGTGAGCGACCGCCGCCGAGGCCTGCGCCAGGCTTTGTTTGAAGGCGGGAAGCGATCGTGGTGCGGGGTGAAATCGCGTAAAAGCCAGAAGAATTGGGCCATACCGCGGTGGCGAGATGTTAACTACCTCGCCTGGTCTACAGAAGGGCGTGGTTTCGATCCCGATCCTGACACCTGTGTATTTGGAGTTTGCATGTTCTCCCCGTGGTAGCGTGGATTTTTCTCTGGTTTTGCTATCCACATGTTGAATTGTGCGTTTAGAGTACTTGGCTACTGCTATAGATTTAAGCCACTTAATTGGGCTATCATTTGTTGGCCAGGTCAATGAAAGAGAGCCAGATAGCTCAGTGGGCCTTGCATCATGATTATAGTTTAAGTCACGGAAAGCTTTGCTGGTGATTGGGGTGTTCCAGCATACTGCAAGATGTATTATTATTCTGCTTGTTTTACCCATTAAAGCATCACTGAGCATCAAGTTTTAGCAGTGGGTGCCGATGTTGCTGCGATAGTGCAACCCTGATTTGCAGGACATTTTCAGCATTGGGGGTGTTTTGGACAACACCAATTAAATTATGTGCACGTGTTTTGTTAGCTTTGGGAAGAAACCGAAGAACCCGGAGGAAACTCATGCAGAGCAAGGGGGAGAGGAGAGAGAACGCACAAACTCCACACGCGTAAAGAGCGCCGGATTCGGGAATTAAACCCACCGCAAGCGCAACCCTGCGGAAAATATGGTTTTACACAGTAAATTCACATGTGCACGTGATCCGGGCAGTGGCAGCGGACGCCAGTAAATGTTGGGAGCCAGCAAAGACGCGCACGTGCAGTACAGCGGGTAGCGCTGCGCTACGAAGCCGGCGATCGCGAGTTCGATTCCCACTCACGGCCAAAATCGGTGACGATTATCTGAACCGGTCCTGGGCATTGCCTAGGTCGAATCAGCCTCAAATGAGTATCTGGTTCACTGGGGAGACAAAGGCGGCCGGGCGTGGTGCTGGTCACCTACCCCATCGTGTGCCATGCCGGCCTTCATAGGTGCTACTCGCTAACAGCACTCGCCTCAACAGTCTATTAAGGATACACGGGGGGGGGGATCTTTGTTTCGTCTTTCTACTGCACCGTACGCCACACAGAGACAGCTACCATCAGGTCGGCTCCGAGACGTTCGCTACGTCAACGGCGCGTGGTGCGAATCCAGGTTGTTTGTTTGCCATTCCGATCTGCCATCACGATCCAATGTCGGCATCGTCCTGCCCTGCCCACCGACCGCCTCTCCCCTCCCATGCATCTTCCGCCTGCCCTGTCTCCCCCCCCCCCCGTCCCCCCAGACGCTTGCAAGGCGACGCGGCGCCTCTCGGATTCCGGGCGGCTGTGCCGCATGGAGGCCGGCACGCTGAGGGCGGTGGTGAGCCCGGACCCGGCGCTGTGCCCGCCGGGGCGAGGGCCCGTGTGCGGCGACGATGGCGCCACCTACCCCAGCGAGTGTGCGGTCGTGCGCACCGCTGCCCTGCGCGGGGTGGCGCTCGCCAAACTCCACGACGGGGCCTGCACGCCCGCCGGTAAAGGGGCGCGCTCGTGGCCACGGCGAGTGGCGAGGTTCCCTGGGATGCTGTTGGGCGATTTGGAGGCAATTCGCCCTCTGGCAGCAGTGATAAAAATAATAGCGGAGGGGCCGAGGAGGGGCGACGCTCGCAACGACGAGCGGAGCCCCGGGCGGATCAGAATCAGAAATTTTATTTAGACTGGAGCAGTGGCGGCTCCTGCAAAATCTCTCAGGGGGGGCAAATGTCTGGATGATTGATAAGGATAAGGTCCACCCATGCAATGGATAAATTAACAGCTTAAGCATGTAAAGGCAACTTCACTTCTTTAATATTAATGAAAAATAAAGTGACTCTTACAATACATCTTGTTTGTTTCTATACTCACTATTAATATACAATCCACTCAAGTTTCTTTTATTAAAGATTCCACTAGGTGGCGACAAATTATATTGTTGGATGAAACGTGCTTACGTATCATGACGTAAGCACGTTAGGGCGAGCCCTCCCGGAAGCCATAGAGAATGCATTGCAGCGCCCCCCGTTCGAAAAAAAACATCTTTGAATGTAAGTCTATGGGGCCACTCGGGGCGATTCTCAGCCGGAGTGAAATCGCCCAAAAAGAGGCGGTACTCCACAGAACGTGACATGACGCTGATTGGACTATATCCAGAGGCACAGTGACGGCTAGCGTGACTCTGTGGTTGAATGACGTTGGTGGTGCGTCGCCCAATCGCCCTAATGAAGAAACCGCCCCTGGACTGGAGGAATCCGTCTGAGCTATGAAGCTCTTTTTCACTGATGCCCAGTATAGAACGCAGCGAGGTGACCGCGGTGGGGAACACAGGTGGTGCATCTGCCGGTCGGTCAACTCGCGGCACCTGGGTCTGTCCCATGACTTCCTGCACCTAGGATGGCACATCAGTCAACCCACGGCACCTGGGCCTATCCCGAGAACTGCCAGCAGTGAGCCTTCAACACGTGACGTCCCCTGCCACTCGATGTGCTGTGGCTTCGATTGACAAAAATCAATTTCTGCTCTGGTCCATGGACTAATTTCTGTTCTGGCCCATGGACTAAACAGTGCATTTGTTGCCCCCCCCCCCATACCACACCCCTTGCCTCCCGCCGCCCCCCGCCGTGCCCCGCCGCACACAGATCCAGTGCAAGGAGAAGTGCCAGTTCAACGCGGAGTGCTCAGTGAGGAACGGTGTGGCGCGCTGCTCATGCGAGCGCCTCGTGTGCGAGGGCCGCTGGGCCCCGGTGTGCGCCGGCGAGCAGCGAACCTTCGCCAACGACTGCGAGAGGAAGAAGGCTGAGTGCCTCGAGCGGCAGAATCTCCCGACCATCGCCAAGGGGCCTTGCGGTACGCAGGGGGTGGGACGAGGGCGCGAGGGGCAGCAGTCTTGTCTGAGGGGTCGGGTGGGTGGGGGAAAGTGATTTAGACGGCGTGGGAAAACACAGGCAAGCAGGAAGGCAGCCTGAGCCGGCGACAACAATCGCCCAAGCTCTTTGGTCCCATATTGGGAGGTTTGGCTGTTGATGCTATAAATTTATACTGCACACGTGGGTGGAAACCGGAGTGCATGGAGGAAATTCCTGTAGGAGAGGAAATGGTGCAATGATCGTTACTCATTCCGTTTGGCGTTTGGCATTTGTTTAAAGTTTGTTCAATATTGACTGTCTTAGCTCCATTGAGTTTTGGCAAAGGCTGCAATTTCAATTATTTTTAAACCAAATACAGAACCATTAATGCATCATTGTCTCAAATCACTCCTCTTCAATCCGCATAATGGCCTCGTTCCTAGAACGTTATGTCTTTGTCGGTAGATTCAAGGTTAAGATGGACTGCCCTTTTCAACGGGGTCACACTGCAAAGGCAGGGCTGCCAGAGGATTTGGAGAAGACACGACTTAGGGTTTCCAGAATTTCAGATGAGGCCTCGTTGCTCAGAGGTCAGAGCGCCGAGCTTCCCAGTAAACACAAAACGTTGGCCCAACGGTTCCAACCACATGCCAACGTTGGACCAACGTTTGACCAACGTTGGTCCAACGTTGAACCACCAGTTCCAACCACATGCCAACGTTGGTCAAACGTTCTTCCAACGGTTCCAACCACATGCCTACGTTGGTCCAACGTCGAACCAACGGTTCCAATCACATGCCAAGGTTGTTCCAACGTTGAACCAACGGTTACAACCACATGCCAAGGTTGTTCCAACGTTAAACCAACGGTTACAACCACATGCCAAGGTTGTTCCAACGTTGAACCAACGGTTACAACCACATGCCAAGGTTGTTCCAACGTTGAACCAACGGTTCCAACCACATGCCAACGTTGGTCTAACGTTGAACCAATGTTAGCCCAACGGTTCCCATTAAGCCAGGCTGTCAAGTGTCTGCTTCAAAAAGATGCCTGAGGTAGTTGGGCAGAAAATGTCAGCCTCAATGAAGATTTTTATTTGATTAACATTTATCACAGTCGCGAAAAGTTGTGGCGTAAATGTTGAAATTTCCAAAGTAGACTACAGATTTTTTTTTGGATAACATTTTGCTGCTTGAAAACTAACCACCTCCGTTCTTGACCCTTTGTCATCATCGTCACCTCATCAACCAATCGCACCTCATCCATCACGTGATGCCACCATCTTTGTGTTGTTGTCATGGCGACCGATGCATGCCGTAACCACAGCAACCCTCGCTTGCCATGTCCCTTCGTCACATGGTCCGTTCGTGTTGCTTGCAAACGTTATTAACCCTTTTACTGATTTAAAAAAAACTAACTGTTTTTTTTCCTTGAGGTTTGTCTCTTTCCTTCTGGTTTTCCCTTCTAACCCTTGCCGTCTTGGAGAGTTCTGTGCCCGACAGGTAAAAACTATAATTATTGAAACTTTTACAAATATTTTATCCAAAAAAGAAAAGAAATACATGGTCAAAACAGTGTCAGCAAAGGGCAGTGCAGAAACATGCAGAGTTTCCCCCAGCACCTATGTTCCCTGCATTGACCGTCGTGGTGAAGTATGGTCAGACAGCCCTCCAAAGCCTGCACAGTGTGAGAAGGCCATCATCCTGCACTGGATGGACAGAATGGGGCTGTTCATGTGCAGAGTGAAAGTCGATCTTGCCACGTTATATATCCTGAGCCTCGGTGGTCTTGAGCCATTGGTGGAAGTTCCACATTCCTATGCCGAGGCCAGGTTTCGGTCATCCTCTTCCACGTAGAACCCGGGGGTATAGCGGTTCGTGCAGGGTAATCGATTGATGCCGGTTCTTAAGCGACGTGATACGGCGCGTCAAACTGTGTCTCTAAATTTCGACTTTTTTAATTCCTTTAAACTCTATTTTAATGAGTTTTCGTGGTTCCTGCAGCCACTAGATGCCGCTACATTTTACTGTAATGTTTTTTTTATATGATCGATTATTGCATTGTTTGCGTTCAATTGCAACCCTGAATCGTACTGATTATCTGAATTTTCTGGGGAGAAGAGATTGAATGGAAGGCACAACTGTATACTTGAAGATATATCAATGATTTGACTAACTTTTTGTTCGAATGCACTCACCCACATATTCATATACTGTACACGTGTGTATGTACACACACATGCACACATATATACACGTGCACACACACTTGTTTGAATACATCTACGCAACACACGCACTTATGCACACACCCATGAACACACTTAAACACATACGCACATTCAAGCATGCACACACACACTCAAACCTGTACGTACACAAACTCACGTACACTTATGCACGCACACCCATGAATACACTTAAACACATACGTACAATCAAACCCGTGTGTACACACACACACACGCACGTGTCCCCTCCGCCTCTCCTTCCCGTAGACGCGTCCACACCGAGTCCTTGCGCGGGCGCCGTGTGCAGCTTCGGCAGCTCGTGCACGGTGCGTGAGGGCACGGCGCTGTGCGAGTGCCCTGCGCCGTGCCCCGAGGTGCCCTACGACCCCGTGTGCGGCACGGACGGGCGCACCTACCCCAGCGCCTGCGCGCTCCACTCGGCCGCCTGCGAGCTGCGCGGCGGTGACGTGAGGGTTGCGAGACGTGGACCCTGCGGTGAGAGGGCCCACCACTGGCCACCAGCAGCCGTCACACCTCGTCACGCGCACGCCGTATGGCTAGCAGGCTGAACGGTTTGGGGGGGAAATATCCAATTGCGATTTTTTCTTGACGGATGTTGCGATTGCGATTTGCGAAGACATTTTTTTAAAGTCAAGCTTCAGTTCAATATTCGCTGCGTAATAGATTTAAAATGTGTGATGGAGCATTAGCACATGATACCATCAAAATTTTAACTGCTCTAGAAATTCTAATGCAAGGATGAAAACTTTAAATATGTGAACTGCTTCCAACATGTATTTATTAAAACTTTTAATTGAAATAGAACAATCAAACAGAACAATTGTTAAGTTACATATATAATGTTAAAGTAAGAAAAAAGAAAAAAATTTGATAAGAAAGTAATTGGATTTTTCAAATCGCAAAAAAATCGCAGCCTTTCCGATTTGCTAATCGCATTGTTTCCAATTGCGATTTCGATTTAAAATCAATTAATCGTTCAGCCTTACCGCATTCCCCGTCCGGTCTGCCCTGCTCACCCTGGCTACAATGAGGGCACAGAGCTCGAGGGTGCAGGCGGCGCGGGGATGGCGGGGATGGCGAGGCTTGACCCCCCCCCCTCCTCCCGGCCAAATCGATTGGGCAGCATTCGTTCAAACGCTGACGTCTGAACGAAAGCTGCCCAATCGAAAGCTGCCCAAGTGCCTGTCTGCGTGGACCGGGAGTGCGGCGGTTAGCTACGAACCCGGGGACCCGAGTAAGATTCGTTTTTTTTCCAGTTTCATGTATTAGGTATAACCCTGTGAGCCATGCGGCTCTTGACTCGGGTGCAACCGCAACGAAACAAAAACATGAACAAGAAACATCTTAAAGTGACTACACGCAACAGAAAAATCCTGGAAAAAACAGCAAAGTCTTCCAGAAAAAACACCGCATTTCAACGCCGCGTACAAAAATCCCAGTGGGATGCAAGTCACACAATTCTCGCTTACTGTGACGGATATCTGCACTGGGTACCTGAGTCTCCCCTCTATGTAGACTCAGCCTCAAATGAGTACTGTACCTGGTGAGATGTGTAAATAACACCACTTCGGAGACAAAGGCGGCCGGGCGTGGTGCTGGCCACCCACCCCCTCGTGTACCATGCCGGCCTTCATAGGTGCTCGCTAACAGCACTTGCCCCAACAGTTTGTTAGAGACTCAACTGGGGAAATGTGTCTTTGTATGCTCTCCACTGGGTAGATTCCACGGTTCTACAGTTTCCTCCGACAAGCCAACGTAACTGGCATTGGCCAAGCGTGCTGAAAAATAAACGAAAGCAAACTATTTTTTATATTGCCAGGTAATGCCCACTGAGCTATGTAGCTCGTTTTCAGAAGGGACCTGGCCACGGATTATAGCTCAACGAAGTTGCTTATCGTCACGTGGAAATGTATAGCAGCCAAACACTCTAAACGCGTGACGTTTATTCTAAATGTGGAGGGAAAAACCGGAGGACCCGGAGAAAAATCCACGCGACCACGGGGAAGCACACGCAAACTCCAAATATACAGGCGTCAGGGTCGGGTTCAAACCCACGACCTTCTATATACCAGGCGAGGGAGTTAACATCTGACCACTGCGGCACCCCCCCCCCCCCCCTGTCGCTTGGGACAACACGCAGCAGAAGCAACACGCCCAAACCCCAACTGTGAACATAGCTGGGCGGGACCCTCCTGAACAAGAGTCTCGTTGAGGCTCTCCCGGGTAAATAAGCAACTTAAGTAAATACAACTACTGCTAGAATTGCAGGTTCATCCGTTCCCCCCCCCCCTAGTGTGTGGTGTATCGGGCGCACTGGACGGTAAATCCACGTGCGTCTGTGTGTGGCGAGCGGTAGTGCAGCGGTTAGCACTACGAATCCGATTGCCACTCACGGCCACTAACAAGAGTTACGAATATTTGAACCGATCCTGGGCCACCCCGAGGTTGCCTCAAATGAGTACCTATGTGTAAACATTGCCACTGGGGAGACAAAGGCGGCCCGGCGTGGTGCCAGCCACCCACCCCCTCGTACGTCATAGGTGCTACTCGCTAACAGCGCTTGCCCCAACCGTCTGTTGAGGCTATCTTTGTGCGTGTGCGCAGGCCGGTGTGTGCCGGCATGCCGGTTGGGCTCCGTGTGCCAGGAGGGCCCGTCGGGACCGCGCTGCACCTGCGCCCGCGCCTGCACGCCCGTGCCGGCGCCCGTGTGCGGCACGGATGGCAACACGTACGGCAGCGAGTGCGAGCTGCGAGTGCGCGCGTGCGAGCAGCAGGTCGACATCTCCGTGGCCAGCGCCGGCACTTGCAGTGAGTCCCCGGCCGGCCACTCGTGCGGGCGACCACCATCGTTCGCGCGATTGTTTTGCTCGTTGACGAGCGCGTTCCATCTTTTAAGTCGTGGCTTGTTCGTTCGATCAGTCGTTCGTGGATATGTGCCACACGTGTGTGTGTGTGTACACGTGTGTGTGTGTGAGCGTGTATTCCGTGTGTATATTACAGGTGTGTGTTACAGGTGCTCGCTGACAGCACTTGCCCCAACAGTCTGATGAGGCTATACGGGAGATATTTATCTTTGTTATCAGAGTGGTAGTGCAGTGGTCAGCGCAATACGCTACGAACCCAGCGACCCGACATTATTTCATTTCCCCCTCATCACCTACAACAGTGACGATTATCTCAATCGGTCATGGGCCTCCCCTGTTCGGCTGCTCCTCAAACGAGCACCTAGTGCGATGTGCAAACATCGCCGCTGCGCAGACAAAGGGCGCCCGGTGCTTGCCGACCCACCACCTCGCAGGTGTGCCGGCCTTCACAGGCGGCCCGCCACTCGCTGACAGCACTCGCCCGACAGTCCGTTGACGGCTATCGTACAGCCGGCGGTTCTTTGTGTGTGCGCGTGCGTGTGTCACCAGAGCCCTGCGGCGCCGCGGGCGAGGTGTGCAAGCTGGGCCGGGTGTGCGTGAACGGGGCGTGCGCGTGCCCCGAGTGCGGCCCTCAGGGCTACTCCCCGGTGTGCGGCAGCGACGGCGTCTCCTACGGCAACCCCTGCGAGCTGCGCGCCGTCGCCTGCGCCACCGCCGTCTCCATCTCCGTCGCCAAATACGGGCCGTGCGACGGTAACACCGCCCCGCGCGCTACTCCGCTGTTCGCCCCTCCACCAACACCAGACCCCGAACCTTTCTCCGCCCACCGCGTACCCCCCGAACCGTCATCGACCCCTGCGTGACGTGAAACCACGGGCAGAAAATGTCCCAGCTGCGTTTTTTTTTTTTCCCGTGTAAGTAGCGTCCGTCGGTTTCGGGGCCCTTTGTGGTCGGGCCGCTGCTACGGCAGACGCGGTCGCTGCGACGTCGCCGGCGTGTTCGTTGGGGAGGGTTATTCCCGTGATTCCGAACATCACGTGGCATTAACGTCCCGTGGCTTTGGGTTGTAACTAACCCCTGAATATTACTTTTTTACACTTTTATTATTTCCGTATAAAGTCTACGAATGATGTTTCCCGCGCCGTCTCGTTTGGAATTCGCGGCTAGTCTGCCCCTTGCTCCTTATTTACGCACGAAGTGTCCATCTGTCTTTCTCCGCGTGTCCCTCTGCACGGCCGTCACCGCCGCCGGCAGACGAGGTGTGCGCCATGTCGGGCTCGGGCGACGGCTCCGGCGACGACTGCCAGGAGGTGCGGTGCCAGAAGTTCGGTGGGCAGTGGAGCAGCGACGATGAGGACGGCGTCTGCGTCTGCTCCCTCTTCTGTGGCCTCGTGCCCGACCGGCCGGTGAGCGGGCAAGATGGGCACGATCTCACCCACGTAGCCTTCAACGGGCCGTTTGGCGCAAGTGCCGTTAGCGAGTACAGTGGTACCTCGGTATACGTCGTTATTCTTCTTGGTTCTTTCGGTAAAGTCACGTAGAAGGGAAATAATAAAATTAAATGAACATAATACAATACAAATTCTCACGACGTTTCGGCCACAACACAAGCAGCCGTCTTCAGGTGAAGAAACAGAGCTGTCGGAAACGTCCCAATCACAGCTCTGTTTCTTCACCTGAGGACGGCTGTTTGTGTTGTGGCCGAAACGTCGTGAGAATTTTTATTTATTATGTTTTATTTTTATTATTTTATTATTTCCCTTCTACGGGACTTTACCGAAAGAACCAAGAAGATTAATCCCTGCAGTCACGAAAGCTTTAAATCGAAATATACGTCGTTAATTCGTTCCAGAAGGTATGACTTAAACCGAAAATAACGTCTACCAAACGAATTTTCCCATAACACATAAAGGGAAAGGAAATAATCCGTTCCAGAGTATAAGAAATGTATATTTTATCTGGCATATTATACATTAATGGGGTTGTATAAAATAATTTAGACACTACTTATTACTAAAATGCATACATAAATTAAAGAAATGCATACATAAATTGAAATGAAAATAAATGTAACGTCACTTTACCTTGCTGAGAGGAGTTGATAGCCTACGAGGATGGTGGTGAGGAATGGGAGGAGTCGTGAACGGGCATACACGGGCTATGCGGTGACTCATCCCGACCCATACAAGTTCTAGCAAGCGCGTCGTATCCCAAGCAAGACGTCGTATCCCAAGACATTTTTTTCTCGTCAAAACACGACGTATACCGAATTCGACGTATTCCAAAGCGGTTGTATGCCGAGGTACCACTCTAGAAGCACCTATTGATTTACACCGACAGACGGACATCTACGCACAGACACACCTAGATACAGACACAAAGACTTTTGTGAACCCCCTCTCCCTGCCGCCACCACCCCCCAAACCCCCGCTCGTCAACAGCTGTGCGGCTCCAACGGGCGGACGTACCGCAACGACTGCGAGAGAAAGAAGGCGGCGTGCGAGCTGATGCGCGACATTCACGTGGCCAAGAGCGGCCCGTGTGGGACGCGTGAGTGAGGCCTCTTGAGCTTACACCGGGGGGGAGGGGGGGATCGGAGGGAGGCAGCAAGGGGAGAGAGGGAGAGAGGAGAGGGAGTGAGGGGAGCGAGGGAGCAAGGCGAGGGAGGCAGCGAACGAGGGGAGGGTGCGAGGGAGATTGTGAGGAAGCGATCACTCCGCTGCATGGCGGCTCGTGCCGGCCGCGTGCGGTTGAGTTTATGCGCACGTGCGGTTTGACACACGTGTGTACTTTACACGCACGCAGGATTGTGATTATTCTGACACTCCTACTGCGCTCGTGTATTACCCCAGTAGCGACGGAGGGAGGTAAACGGAGAAGGGAATAGAAAGTTATATCATAATCAACGCGTGTGACGTCACTCCACGTCGACCAGCCCCCCTCATCAATAATCATGAACAGGTGACGTCCTCCAAATGGACACCTCCCCCACATTAATAATAATTAGTGGGTGATGTCACTCCACATGGGCGGGCGAGGCGCCTCCTCCCCACTCCTCAGCATCAACTTACAACCCTCACTACAAAGGCAGAACCCTCCGTAGCGTTATTGAGACATCAAAGTAAATGGACGTCATGATGAACAAGGGCTTATAACCTGTAAATGAAATAGGTCTGTGTCACCGCGGCCTCACAAATTGCACACCAATGGATGCAATGAATATCACGTCGCGGTCTGCTTTTCGCTTGCAACTTTCGGATTTACTACAATACACCTGTCCTTGGACGGCAAAAGGCGAGTTAAATATAACAATTACGCTCCTTTACCCAGGAAAGGCTCACCGAGTCTCAGGGAGGGTCCTGCCACGTTTCCGCAGTAGATGGGCAATATTACTAAACGTGATCCCAATTTTCAGGTAATTTTTCAGCATTGCGTGATGTAAAGCTTAGACGTTTGTCTATTTTACACGCGTGTTCAGTTTGCACATTTACGTACGCTGCACTCCTGAAGATGCCCACAGAAGTGCGTGGCTAAAGCTTGGTGAGAAAAAAAACTCAACAAATGCTCGAAAAACGGACACCCAAAACCATGGACCGGTTGCACGTGGATTAACGAGCGGGCTGTGAACTCGCTTGCGTGTTCGTTGTTTTGTCTTGCAGAAAGGCCGAGGCCTTGCAAGGAGACGCTGCACGGATGCTGCCCCGACAACTCCACTGCCGCCCTGGGCATTGGTTACGGCGGCTGTCCCGGTAACACCTAGCGTTCCCTCCCAACCGCGTCGGCAAAAACAACAACAGCAAACGCCAAATCTCACTGCCATTGTTACGTTAATTCCTACACAAGTGATTGCTGTACCATAATGAAGACAGACGCAACGATGGAAATACGTATGTTAATGTGAATGAAGGTCACCGTGAACCATTCTCTGTTCACTGCTTGATCGTTGTGTGCCGCCCCTCGTAAGGGATATGTGGCTGCAACAGGATTGGCTCCCTGGGCGCGACCTGCGACCCCGGAAGTGGTCAGTGCGTGTGCCGGCCTGGGGTCGGCGGGGTCAAGTGTGACCGCTGCCTCCCCGGTTTCTGGAATTTCCGGGGGATGGTGTCGGAGCAGCATGCCGGATGCACGCGTGAGTCACGCAGAGCCTAGCCCGGGCCCGAACATATCCCTAATCCCCCCTGCTCTAAAACCTATAGCAACCGAAAGCCTAAACCCGAGCAATGTTTCTATAGAACTGCTTTTTCGTGTTTAGTTTGTTGTCCTTCCCCCGCACCTCCGACTAGCACGATCGACCACGTATGGTGCGAAAGAAGTTCAATATAAGTCTGTTCTCTTATAACGCGGTAGTTGCGTCCCTGAAGAACGCCGCGTTATGGAAAAATCACGTAATATATGAACCTTATGGCGGTACCCCGGGGTACCATAGTACCCCAGCTCTCGCATAATGTCCGTGATGCAGTCATTTTGAGTCTGTTGATGGTCGGCGATGTGGCAATCGACTCATCTCGACGAGCTTCCACGATGCACTATTCAAAGTTGAAATTCTCCTGTACAACTGTTAAATGATGGGTGCTTCATCGGCCAGGGAGCTAAGCCAGAACCACTGGGATATAGGTTTTAATCTAGGTTACAGCCACTTGTAATTTAACTGGGTTCTCAAGTGCATTTTATGGTCTAAGCCCAGTCACCAATTAATATATGTGTAGTGGGTTCAACTGAGACGTAATCTTCAACTCGGAGGCAGCGTATTTTATTCTTAAACACAGCAGGACAACTTAACACAACGACCTAGGGTGGTGACCACCCCTGGCTATCTCCGTAACAACTGCTAACGCGGGCCGGGGCTAACAGCATCCTGCCCGTACCACGTGCTTGAAGACTCGCGAACCGTAGAATGTAGACGAAGGGTTTCTTCCCTGGGATGGACAGCCAAGATCCCACTCGGGATTCGGCTTAAATTCTCTCCAGCGTGGCCGGCTCCACCACTGGCCACACCTCCCTTCCAAAACCTTCACGAAGAACCTCGGTTCCATCACGTGCCCCTCACAGCCCCCTCCTCGGAGGCCCCTCTGTTGCCTTAAATGGTCACGTGTTCATCCGGGTCAACTAGACTTTCATGGCCTTATACGACCTTCCCTTCGGGTCGGCACACACCCTGCCCGCCAGGGCCGGTACTGCACCCACAGCATGGTGACATCTGTGAAGTCACTGCATATGTATTAAAAATTGCAGGTAAAATGTTCAATTTCATTTGGCTGATTAGCTGATCTGTCATGGGAAAAATCTCATGGCTGCACACACACCCGTACACAAAACACATTAATTTGGTTTTCACTTACTTTGGCTATATTCCAGCATTGAAAGCTTAAACAGTGGTTTGACTTTCATGGAAAAAAACTCATTGCAGGGTGCATGGGAGAGTTCGACCACGAGTTTGTGAGACATCCTGCATAAAACAATAATAACAATTCTACTTTGAGACTTCCAAATGACTTCTTCGTCTCATCATTTGGCACTACAACCTTGAAATAAATTGGACGGAAGAAAAGATCCATTGTTTTTCCGTTTCACACGCACAGTTTATGGCAAACAGGCAGCGAGCCTCACTCATCTTTCATAGGGCATTTAGCGACACTCTTGCAACACGGTAGCCCACAGTACACCCGAACAAAATCGCTATCCTCAGGGGTATAACGATTCACTCTACTCCCCCACCCTCCACTCCCCGAAAAAATAGTGTCCCAGAAATCAAATATTAAATTGCCTCGGCCATTTAGTATTATTTGGTACCATGGGGTACCGCTTTAAGGATCATATAATATAGGGCAAAGTACAGTCCGCGATAGCACGTGAGATGCATATGCAGGCCGAACAAAGACTGAGGCGCGTGGGTAGCATCTCGAAGCATCCAGCAGCATCCCGCCTTGTGCGATGCTACGCCAGGGCAGCCGTGAAACCGCTTATTCCTACTCGCGCAATATAGTTCTGTTCACGTTGTATGCAATTCGCATTCGCATTATCAAAAGTGCATTCCCCCCACCCCTTAATACATTCAACGCGTTGTGAAAACCACACGCGGCGTTATAGGCGAGCAGACTGCACATACATACAACAACCCGAACAACAACCCAAATCCGTGCGATAACCCTACACCCTACGACAATAACCATGTGACCCTAACCTGCTCGTGAGCAGCGTGCGGCTGCAGTGCGGCCGGCTCGGTTGAGGACGCTTGCCATCAGACCACGGGGCAGTGCTCGTGCCGGGATGGAGTCTTCGGCGTCAAGTGCGACGTGTGCCCAAAGGGACGGACGCTGGGGCCCTCCGGCTGCTCGCAAGGTAATACCGGGGCGCGGCACGGGGGACCAAATGTCTGTACGTACGTTGAACTTCTTTGTGTGTGTATGTATGTTGAACTTCTTTGTGTATATGAATGTTGAACTTCTTTGTGTGTGTTCAACTTCTTTGTGTGTGTATGTATGTTGAACTTCTTTGTGTATATGAATGTTGAACTTCTTTGTGTGTGTTGAACTTCTTTGTGTGTGTATGTACGTTGAACTTCTTTGTGTGTGTATGTATGTTTAATGTCTTTACGTGTGTGTATGTATGTTGCACTTCTTTGTGTGTGTATGTATGTTTAATGTCTTTACGTGTGTGTATGTATGTTGCACTTCTTTGTGTGTGTATGTATGTTGCACTTCTTTGTGTGTGTATGTATGTTGCACTTCTTTGTGTGTGTATGTATGTTGCACTTCTTTGTGTGTATGGATGTTGACATTATGGATGATATTGGTCGCGAAAGCCTACGTGTTAAACTGCTTGAGAGTGTCGGAATCGTGCGTCCGAAACTGTGGACGTGCCAAATTATCCCAGCTGGTAATTTTTTCGCCTTGCTTGTACTTCCTCGTTTGTATTGCTCTCCGTTTCTATCTCTCTCGCGTGGGTTTGGTTGTAGTTCATGCCAGTCGCTTGAACATAACGTTGGCACGTCGTTTACATCTCTCTGGCACACGCCATAAATGATCGATCCTTACACGCACGATGCCTTTGCATGTATCTCGCGCGTAAGAATGAGGTTTTAAATTCGCCAAGTATGCCTGAAATCTGCGTGCTAGAGCGTGGAATTAATCAAGAGCCGGCCTGCCTTATTTTGGGCATTCGGGCGACACGCTTGCCTCACAGCAATAAGTTACCGGGTTCGATTCGGCACTCGAGCGCCTCACTGTGTATGGTTTGTATGTTCTCTCCCTGCTCTGTTTAAGTTTCCTCTGACTTCTACGGTATCCTTCCACAGCTAAAAACACCACACAGTGTAACTGGATATCGGCCAAACATGGCAATGCTGAAAAATAACGCCGTGAATTACTCGCTTGGGATCGCACACAACGGCAACGTCACCCCCTGTTGCAAAAACTTGGCAGAGCCCTCCTTAAAGAGAGTCTTGAGACTCAGTGATGCTTTCCTGGGTAAACAATCGTGATAACAACACAATAATAATTATTACATTCTATTCATCCATCTCTTTTCCTTCCTTCTTGTTTCTCTGTCACTCCTTGACCACGGCCGCAGGCTACCGATGCTGACCATATGTGGCGGGTCGCTCTTACAGGTCGTGCTTCCATTTGTCGCTGCCGTTGACAAAATACAACAACGGTGAATCACATCAAATAGCACGGTTGGCTACGTACGGTGCAAAGGAAGTTCAACATATGTACGTGCGTAAACCAGTCGGCCCACAACGCAGTGCGTGCGGCGTCGCGTGCCCCCCTTCCTCTGACAGACGCGGCGCCGTGGTCGTGCAGCGGCGTGACGTGCCGCTATGGCGCCATCTGCGTCGACGGGGGACGGACGCCAACGTGCCAATGTCCCACCGACTGCAACCTCTTCCTCACCGCGCGCCAGGTACGAGACGGCCAAGTATGAGTTTGGTGGGGGGGGGAGGGGTGCGGGGGTGGTCCGGGGGGGAGGGTCATGGGAGAGGTGAGTCTGGGGAGCTAAGCCACGAGGGTTGAGTCCGTGTGACTGTGCCGACAAAGTTCATTCCGCGGGAGCACCTCGCGATGTCGGCTTGTGGAGAACGATTCTACGGTGCTGGGAGTTGAGTCTCTGTTACATTGCTTACCCAGTTTGTGGTAAGTTCTGGCGTGGAACTTCTTTTACACCATACGTAGCCAACCGTGCCAATCGGAGGTGAGGGGGAAGGATGGCAAAATAAAACAGATCCAAAGAAATGAGTTTTCAATCTAGATTTTTCTTTTTTAAGTTTGTTGCTCTCTTCAGTTTACACATTTTCCTCCTGCGATGTCCAGTAACTGCCGCTGCTGCCGACGGTCCTGGGCTGTGGTTGTCCTCGTAACAGAGCCGCGTAGCTCGATGACGCCTCACTAACTAAAGTAACAACGTGACGGTTCGGTGAAGGGGGGAGGGGGTGTGCCACGGCGGTTCGGTGGTCAGCGCACCGCACTTGCAGTGCAGAGGCTGCCGGTTCGATCTCCCGGCGCGACAGTTCAAACAACGCTTCAAGTCTCTTAAACCCTCACGTCCACCCAGCGGCAGAAAAACGAGTTCACCACAGCCGGCCGGCGGGTCACACGCGGTGGCGTAAAGTGTGGACACTCCAATCTCTTCCGAGGCGCCTGACGAGCGCGGACTAGTAGGCCCCAAATACCATTCCAGAGCTCCCTCCGGCAGCGGAGAGGCAACTATAGGCTGTAGGTTCGAGGTTGTAGGGCCCGAATCTGACGGTTGAGTTTGTGGATGGAGTGTGGAGGTTGAAGTGAGGGGTTGAAGCCCCGGTTACAAGGGGCATGGATTGGTGAGTGAACAGTTAACGGGCAAAGTTAATGGCATCTGAGTCTGGGGACAAACTCAACCCTCGCGTGGGGTTGAGCCAGAAGATGGGGTGGCCAAATCGACCGTCGGGCACCGAATGTTGCGGTGGGTTTTTCGGTGGGCAGGTGTGCGGATCGGACGCGGTGACCTACGCCAACCGGTGTCAGCTGCGCCTGATCGCGTGCCGGCTCGGCAAGGACGTCTCGGTTGAGCACGACGGGCCGTGTGCCGGTGAAGCCTTTGCACAACAACAACAAACATAACAAACAACAAGAACTGCAACACAAACACATCAATGCACAACAACACAAACATATGAACAAACATAGCAACACAACAACTGGAACACAAACATATGAACAAACAACAACACACACATATCAACACAACAACTACAACACAAACATATCAAAACAAAAACAAACATACCAACAAACAACACGCTGCTGGAAAAGAGCTATATAGCTCAGTGGGCCTTATCTGGTAAAATAAAATGAAGAGTGTATTGTTTAGTTTATGCATGCAGCGCCTTTCTGCCACAAATCTGCCACTAAACGCACAATTAACACATAAACACTCGATGTAAAATTTGAAAATGCAAATGAATGACAAAAAATATATATATACTTACACGTTGCAGTGAACGTCGACTGAAATTGACTATCGGTTAGATGTTGCCGAAAAATCTCGCGTAAGAAAAGTTTGTAATCGTTGTCGTCATCGTTATTGTTCAGTGCCGCCCCCTCCGTTCAAGATCAAGCTGTCCTCGCTGCAGCCCATCATGCCGCGTGCGAGACCACCCACGGTGGCAGTCCCTCCGCCCACGGGCCTCCTCGAGAAACTGCCGTGGTTTCCAGCGAAACCCGCGCCGGCGGTGATGCCGCCGGCGAGACCCCCGCCGGTCCCGCCGCCCGCCGCGGTGAAACCGCCACCCGGGGTGGTGCTGCGAAAGGGGACCGTCGAGGCGACAACGAGGAAAACCACGGCCGCCGTCGGCGTCGCCGTGGCTACACCGACAGCGAAGGCGGCGGTGACGAAGGCAAAACTGACGACGACCACGGAGGACTGGTTTTTTGACCCGTGGCAGGTGGAGGCCGGTTCGGGGGTCATGGGCATTCCGCTGCCACTGCCGCCCTTCGCGGGCCTCACTGACGAGGAGCAGAGCGGAGACGGCTCAGACAACGAGGGCAGCGGCGACTTTCACGGTGCGTGTCTGTGTAAATACGTTCTATGATGCGTGTTTATGTAAATGCGTTCTACGATGACAACGGTATAGGTTGTCGTCGTCGTCGTTGTTGCTGCATGCTTGTCCCTCCATATCTCGTAAATGTATTACAGGTTAATTTAATTTCTTACTTTATTAAATTACCGTGGATTTGCCATTGTTTTTTTCAGGCATGCAGGCAGAAGAGCAGATAGCCCCTGAGCTTAAGTCCAGCTGTGAGAACACCAAACATGGCTGCTGCCCGGATGGAAGGACCCTGGCCGTCTATGCCAACAAAACCGGCTGCCCACGTGCGTATTGCCCCGGTGACCCCACCACACGATGGTGCAAAACATGGACTGGGCCCAACTGAAGCCTCTTACACTCCCACTCTGCCGAACAGTCTACCAGTGAACACGCCAACTTTGGGCCAACGTTCCGTGTTTACTGGGTTGCGTTTGAGTGGGGAGATGGTTTCAGTGACGAATGACTTATTTTCTTGTGGTTGGACGGGGACACGGCAGAGACGCTGCATTGATTGTACAAATCAGGCACATTCCAGGTGATTTAGCGATAAGCTCATCTATTTAACCCTGCTATAAATGTGTAAAGGAGTCCCTGGGAGGCATCCATTTCAACAAAGGTAAGTCTTTATTTTCAGAGAGTCGGTACAGCTCCGTTGAACCCAGCCGAGTTGCAATCCGCCTTGGTCACCTTCTTTCAGTCTTGTCCCAGCCTCCTGCCCCAAACTGAGTTTGTGCTCCCTCTTATATACCCTCCTTGGGCCCCGTCCCCAATCAGACCGTCCCCATGTAGACCGACCACATGCTCTTAATTAAGTCAACGTGTACGTTCCCCGATATTTCCCCTTGCAGTTTCCTACACCTACGCGTCAACATGTGCACCGACCATATCTCCGATATACAGTCCCCTACAAATGTATTAAAGTCAACCCTCCTTCATTTTGTGTCCAAGTCACTGGAATAAATTTGGGTGGGGGGGAAGAAAAAATAGATGTACATCTTTTTAACAATTAAAAAAATATATGTTTTTTTTTATATTACACTTTTAACACACTCTATTAAGTCTTTCCCACAAACTAAGCATACAGATGGCAAAAGGTAAAGGTCTTTATTTGTTTCAAGTTGCCATAAGTGTTTCAAATTCCATATCGTATACATATCCATTCATCTTCTCATCGGGTACCGTGGCATTTTCCATCCATTTATCGCCATTTTCCCATAATACACCTTGTTTGTATACCACTACCACCATCATCAGTGTTTTCTGACCATACGCTTCAAATCAACATCTTTTCCCGCTACTAACCAATAACAACCACAATACTCTAAGTGTCTGTCTTTTCTTACAGCAGAATCCTTTAATTTCTCTCGACATTTATCAAAACAAAAACCCTAAACCGAGTCCAGAGTTGGTTTATTATTGCTCTTAGGCATGGCCAAGTCGTCCCCACAGTGACCAGGGAAAGTTGGTCCACATGCAACCCCTAACCCAGTAGACATGCAATGTTTGGTGTGGTTGGAACCGTTCGACCAACGTGGGGCCAACATCAGCATGTGGTTGGAACCGTTGGACCAACGTTGGGCCATCGTTGCCATGTGTTTAGAACCATGGGGCCAAAGTTTGGCCAATGTTGGCATGTGGTTGGAATCGATGGACCAACGTTGGGCCAACTTTCACATGTGGTTGGAACCGTCGGGCCAACAATGGCCCAACGTTCCATGTATACATGGAAAGCACAAGGTAGGCTAGGCAATGTAACGACCAGAGTTAATTGTCTCATTGTCCTGCTGCTGTCAAACATAATGTGGCCACAATGTTGACTCTCTTGAGTTGGTGGCCAAAGACAAGGTCGTGTGCATGAATACAACGCGGTCCGGCGATGTCGTGTCACCTGCGAGGCATGATGGAAGGAGCAAGCCTGAGGCGGTCACAACCGTGCCAGTTTGCCACCTAGGAATCTCGTTTCTCAGTCGTCGCGCTTTTGAACTCAACTTCATGTGCAAATCTGAGAATGGCTGTTTTTTGACTGTAAAGGCACCCACCCCACCCCACGGACTTGACCACTGGCTCTTTGCGTACCGCATTCGGCAAACCCCGACGGCGGTCGTCAGTTGGGCCGAACGCTTGCCGATGGGACGCGGGGCAATCAAAATCGCTCAATTCTATTGTTCCAGGCCCGGTTTTTCGAATGACTAATAATGGCCGCTCGAATAAATGGCCGCACGAATAAATGGGCACTCGAATCAATGGTTGCTCGAATCAATGGCTGCTCGAATAAATATAGATTTTTTTTACTTTACAAGAGCCCGGTACAGAGCGCGAAAAATAAAAATGGAAGGGGCACAGAAACATTCCGTGGGCTGAAGCTCGAAACGCAGTGCTCACGGGGGGATGGAGGAAATGGAGAGAAATGGGCTCGCCATCCCACTCACGTAGGGACTGCAAGCGGTAGCATGGACTTTTTATGAGGGGAATGGAAGGCGAGGGAAAAGGAGCAAAGGTGAGGGGGAAAAGGGTGGGTGGAGGGTACAAACACAAGGTCTCCCAAATAAAGTAACCTAAACTCGCCAAGTGAACCTATCATCGAAATGAATCCCGCAGAGCGGTGATTACCACACGTCTATCCTAAGGGTGACACCATGAACGTCCATCCACTCCCCCCAACAAAATTGTCGATTCATATGCGTGCAACTTGATGCGTGTGTTGCGAGCGTGATAATCGATGGATCGGTTACAATCGTTACAGGCCCACCGTATTTATGCGCAGGTAAGATAAGTGTCGGGTCCAGAACGAGCATTGTTAATGAGCCACGCAGCAGGTTTAGCCATAGCATATGCGAAGCGCAGTCTTGTCTTAGTTCGGGTTTATTTAGCAAGATGCGTATGAAGCAATTTGTCAGAACGAAGTGCTTTTTGTGTTCAAACGAATAACAAATGTCCTTTTTTCCTTTCCTTCTGCAGCACAATGTACCCTTACATGCCTTGCGTTTTGATAAGACAGATATAAACACTCACTTGAACGATGCTCAACTGCCAATTGCTCGCGTTACGAGGCAGATTGAGTGTGATAAAAATAACACTCCGTTTCAAAGAAAATATATATCTCGTACAGCAAAAACAGCAAAGAAATTTCAGCGATTCTAACAATAACGAAATACAATAAACCCACACGTCTGCGTGGGTTGCTGTCTCCCCCCGTATCTCATCTCGTCCCATGTTGCCTCGTCCCCTCCCCCATCCCCCCCTCCGGGTACGCCACGAGCAGCCACGCGAGTCTTCGCCGGGGTTATGATCCTGGACGCTCCGCTCGCCGCCAACATGCCGGCCTTCACGCAGGAGACGAGCGAGCAGCTTGCTGAGCTGCGCGCCTCCACCGAGACCACCGTGCGTTTGGGGGGGGCTCGCACGCAGGGGGGGCACACACGGGGGCACACGTGGGGGCACAAAGGGGCATGCGGTGGCACACGGCGTGCATCATGCCAAAACTGTCGGCAGTTCTTGAACAAGTGTATTGTGGCCCTCTTGTTTTAGGCCACCGTCCACAGCCGCCCCATGCACCCCCTCTCCGCCCCATGCGCCACCTCCCCGCCCCATGCACCACCTCCTCGCCCCATGCACCCTCTTCCTGCCCCATGCGCCACCTCCCCGCCCCATGCACCCCCTTCCTGCCCCATGCGCCACCTCCCCGCCCCATGCACCCCCTTCCTGCCCCATGCACCACTTCCCCACCCCATGCACCCCCTCCCCGCCCCGCCTTGCGCCCTTCCCCCGTGCAATCCCCACCCTCAGACTGGGTTTTTGCGTGCCCCGTCCCGCCATCCCCTGCCACGTGCTCACCAGCGTGCCTTCTGATTGGCTGCAACCCACGCGTTATACTTTTGGTAACTTGTGGTCCATTTGCGGAAGAGTGCGGAACATTGCAGCGGATTTGCGGTTAGTTTGCTGTATTCACAGTAAATCTGCGGTATTTTGAGGTAATTTTGCGGTAATTAGTAGAACCGGCTTCAGGGACACGGAGCGAAAGTCGTATATGTTTTGGACATTTAACCTTTGCCCTGCTACCTTTAAACCAATCTGATGTATTGCCCTTCCCATCACTCCCGACCACACAGCTGTACAACCTCTTAGCATCATCCGATGTCAAGGACGATTTCAAGACCATGCAGGTGAAGCTCATTGAAGACAGCCACATCACTTTGGAGATGCACTTTGACCCTCGTGAGTATGCCACTGACCTCGACCCGAGTCACTGTCGTCGGCCGTTGTCTCTCTGCTGCCATTGGATGGCCTCCCCACGCCATGACCATCTTCTCATCATTCCACTGCAGTGCCCCGCAGTGGCGAGTTGTTAACTACCTCGCTTGGTATACAGGAGGTCGTGGGTTTGATCCGTTGTCATCGGCCATTGTCTCTCCACTCCTGCACGACGGCCTCCCGACACCGTGATCGCCGTGATCATCCCCTCAAGTGACCATCCCCTCATCTCACCACAGTGGGGCACCGTAGTGGCGAGATGTTAACTACCTTGCCTGGTATACAGGAGTTCGTGGGTTCGATCCCATGAACTCGTGTATACCAGGCGAGGTAGTTAACGGGCCGTGCCAGTCGCCCTTGCCTGTATATTTTGATTTTGCATGTCTCTCTCCCCGTGGTCGCGTGGATTTTTGTCTGGTTTATTCCCTCCACATTTAGAATCAACACATGTTTAGAGTATTTGGCTGCAATACATTTCCGTGTGATAAGCCACTTCATTGAGCTATCCTTTACGGTTGGGGTCGCTACAGAAAAATAGCTACATAGCTCAGTGGGCCTTACCTGGTAAAATAAAAAAAATTGCTTCCAAAATAGTTCAAGTGTCCTGCGATCCCGTAATCCAGTGTTCTTAACAAATTTTGAGAGGCGGGGGGGGGGGGGGGGGCACTTTCACCGATAAGACATCAATGTGAGTGAGGGCCGCCACGCATTTGAAACCATTGGGAGTTTGACAGCACGACAACGACGATGATGACGGTGGGCTATTAAAGGCCACCAGTAGCTTTGCCAGTGGGCCCGCCCGGCCTTGCGATGATGAAGAACACCGCCGTAGTCCATCTCACCCCCCTTCCACCTGGTGCACAAGCTCCGGCTCTAAAGCGGCGAGGGCGCTCCTCCCGCACGAGCCGTGCCAGTCGCCCTCGCCGTTTTTTTGATGACCCTCGCTCTGCCGCTCCCGTCTCTCTAGAAACTCGGTTCTCCCCGCGGGACGTCGAGAGAGCGCTCGTCAAGCAGCTGATATCGTCGAGGAGAAGGCCGATCAACGTGAAGCGGCCAGAGGAAAAAAACATCAAGATTGTGGATTACGGTACGTGGAGGTAGAGAGGAAAGGGTTTTGAGATTGGGGGGGTTTTGTTTAATGTGTAGCAGCGGATGGTGGGTCCCGTTTCGTAGTGGTAGTTTGAACATCTTAACACCTGTTTTATTGCCAGAAAGGGTAAACCCTGTTCTTCTTACATTTTGGTTCTTTCGGTAAAGTCACGTTGGTGAAAATAAAATAAAAATAACTAAATCACAACATTTTTTATTTTAATTTTATTTTCACCTTGCAGTCATGAAAACTTCAAACCTGTTAATCTTTTTCATTCTTTGATCCTGGCAAAAAAAATCCCATGATATAACTGCTCACCCTAAGCTTTTAATGCTCTGATACGTGTGGCATTGTCTTTGTGCAGTTCGCCTTTCGGCGTTCTCCGGTCTGACACTTGTGAGACTAGGCCATAAAGAAGGTTGTCTCTGGTGTAGGCCAATCAGTTTCAAAGACAATGCATACATTATCAGAGCCATGTTTTTTTGCATGTTCACCACAAGTATTGTGTTTAAAGCTTTCGTGACTGCAGGAATTACTCTTTGGTTCTTTCGGTAAAGTAACGTAGAAAGAAATTAAATTAAATAATAGGATACGACGTTTCGATTGCAACACAAGCAACCATCATCAGGTACAAATGAATGAGAAAACAAACCTAGTAAACTTGGAAATATAACGCAATACAACACAGAGAGTCGGCCAACAAAACAGTCAACACCCCACCTGGTTGATTACGTTCTTCCAAAGATTGCTAAATTTGAGAGAGAGACAAAACATAGACACGGAGACACACAGACAGATACACAAGTAGAGAGAGACTCACACGGAGACAAACAGAGAGACACTGGACTTTTACACAAACAAGTACGGAGCGTTGTGTGGAATTACTGCCCATAGCGGCCGGAGGAGAGAAGCACGGTATAAAGAAAATTTAGTAAAATTAGAAGTGTAACGCAATGCAAAACAGAGAATCGGTTAGCACACAGTTAACACATAACCTGGTTGATTACGTTCTTCCGAAATTAGTGTGAAACAAACAAGCAAGGCAAACCCTCCCCGTAGAGGTGGTTCAAACTAGATTCAAAGCTTTCGTGACTGCAGGAATTATTCTTTGTAATCAACCAGGTGGGGTGTTGACTGTTTTGTTGGCCCACTCTCTGTGTTGTATTGCATTATATTTCCCAGTTGACTATGTTTGTTTTCTCATTCATTTGAACCTGATGATGGTTGCTTGTGTTGCAATCGAAACGTCGTATCCTATTATTATTTAATTTTAATTTCTTTCTACGTGACTTTACCGAAAGAACCAAAGAGTCATTATTGTGTTTGGTTAATTCAGCACTTGATTCCTTGCTAAAGGTATTGCCAGAAACGGTAAAACCTATTCTTATTTTTCATCGTGGCAAGCCAGTCGTCGCCCCAACTACATTGAACGAGAGATCCGTAGTACTGCGCTGAGGCACAGGAGCAACGACAAAACGAAGGCAAAATAAAATATAAAAAAGCTTTTTTTTTTAAACGCTTTCATGAAATGTACTGTCCGAGCTGCCCCTTCCCCTGCCCCCTTCCCCCATCGCCCCTCCCCTCCTTCCACTTCTCCCGCCCCTGGGCGTGGCTCCCCGAGGCTTGCCGTGACGTAAGGGACCACGTGGTGATTTACAGGCAACGTCAGTTGAGCGTTGACAATTAGAGCCGTTAAAAATATTGTTAAAAATATTTATTTTTAATGATATAATATAGTATTGTCATCAGTATGACATAGCTATACGAAATTTGTAGTCGATACGACATTGGGAATACGGTTGAAATAGAGTTACAAGATTTTTGGATACGACAACACATACAGTAAGTTAAATAAAAGCGTGTAAAAAGTTTAAAAATATTTTTGGATTTTTAATGATAGAATATCGTGTTGTCATCAATATGACATACCTATACGAAGTTTTCAGTCGATAGCACATTGGGAAGTGTCTACAACCTTGAGTTACAAGATTTCTTTTTTGAGGATACAACAGACGAAGTGAGTTAAATAAAATCGTGTAATAAAAATAAAAACGTCGACGTTGCAGAGAACGCGCAGTTAACAGGGGCCGGTGTTGAATGGTCGCAGATGAAACGCACGTGAATTTGTTTCAAAAGACGGTGCAAATATATATGAGGGCAAGAGGCGGCGTAAAACATTGGGTACGTGTGCAAGTAAGCTCGAAATGTTGATCGAAGAGTGACATAAACACACGCGGGCTGAAATGAATCAGACAATTACAGATTTAACTCCTCATTTGTGAGCACAGAAGTGAAGCACAAATGATGTAAATGTCAAAACTGCGTGTGTTCAAATGCATATACATGTTTTTTTCACACGTAGAAGGGAAATAATAAATAATACAAATAAAACATAATAAAATAATTATCAACCCTAACCCTTTAGATGCTGTCTCCCCGACAGCCCTGTTCTTCACCTGAGGATGGCTGCTTGCGTTGTGGCCGAAACGTCGTGAGAAATATTTTATTGTTTTATTTTTATTGTTTTATTATTTCCCTTCTACGTGACTTTACCGAAAGAACCAAGAAGATGAATCCCTGCAGTCACGAAAGCAGCTTTAAATCTTTTCTTTTTTCATCAGGCAGCCACAAGGACGGTTCGAAGAGCGTCACGGCAACTGCCGCCCTGGGGCCCTGCGACCAGAACCCCTGCCTCCATGGCGGCAGTTGCGTGCCCAACAAGAGCGAGTTCTTCTGCTGCTGCCCGCTGGGGAGATGGGGGAAGGTGTGCGAGAGCGGTACGGTCCCCGCACCCACACGAGCGCCAGCGTCGACTAATATCGATCCCTGCCCCGCCCCCCCTCCACCAAGTATCGGTACCAGAGCCGGCCCAGCCACTAAGCGACCCTTGCAATTGCAAAGGGCCCCGTGGCCAGCAGAGGGCCCTCTAGAGTCACTGCTAGCGAGTGGGTGAAAAAAATCAAACATCAAAGGGACCTCCAACCAAATTTTGCTTAGGGCCCCCAAAGGTCTAGGGCCGGTTCTGATCGGTCCCTCCACAGGAACATATATTTGGTGAATATTTGTACCCCCGGGTTCGGGTTACTACGTCACAATAACAAAAATAAGGGGGTGCACATTTTTAGATGGGGGTCCCAATATTTATAAGGGGCAAACGAATGTTAATTCCTGGTTGGACAGATATTTTCTCGCAGCGGTGATTTAACGTGCGTGCCAGGCGCACAATGGCGCCTCTTTGGTTCTTTTGGTAGAGTCACGTGGATAGAGAAATAAACAATTAAATAATAGCATACGACGTTTCGATTGCAACACAAGCAATCATCATCAGGTACCAAATGAAAGAGAAAACAAAACCTAGTAAACTTAGAAACATAATGTAATACAACACAGATAGTCGGCTGACATAACAGTCAACACCCTACCTGGTTGATTACATTCTTCCAAAGATTGCTAAATTTAAGAGAGAGATTAAACACAGAACAGGAGACACATAGACAGACATGTAAGCAGAGAGAGATAACACAGAGACACACAGAGAGAGACACACACAGGCACACAGAGAAACGACGCCTCTGTGTCGAGGCCTTAAATAGAGAGAGAGGGGGGCAGAGAAGGTGGGGGGGGGTTGAGAAATTAGCATGTCAATGAGAGACATGGCGCTACAGCAGGAAACCAAGAGCAGAGAGCTTTTTGTTTTCTCTTTCATTTGCACCTGATGATGATTGCTTGTGTTGCAATCGAAACGTCGCATGCTATTATTTAATTTATTATTTTCTCTCTCTACGTGACTTTACCGAAAGAACCAAAGAGTAATTCCTGCGGTCACGAAAGCGCCAAATCAAGTTTGAATGACGCCTCTGTTCGTCGATTGAAATAGATTCTAAGGCTCACGATGCGAGCGCACTGTGGTGGCTGTACACGTCTGTAATCCGGCATGGTGGAGGTGAGGGTCAGTGGATCACCGTGTGCGTCGAGTGAGGTGCCCGCATCCTGGCTCGAGGAGGTTACTGCCTGGGGAGGGGTGGGCGGGGTGGTGACGCTGCTATCATTTATTCCAAGTTGTGTAGTAAACGTAACAAACCCTTGCTGTCCCATCCCGCTCGCTCGCGATGTTCACAGAGATCAGCTTCTTCGACCCGTTGTTCAATGGCATGTCGTACATGGTGCTTGGCCTGGGCAGCATACGTCTGTCCCACAAGACGCACCTCAGGCTGGGCTTCACCGCCTCCCAAGGAAACGGCCTGCTCCTCTACGCAGGAGAAGCGTCCGGGCGAGACTTCATCTCGCTCGCGCTCGTCGATCACCACGTCGAGTTCCGGTGGGGATACCGCGGCCCCCCCTTTCCCCCCCTTCTCAAGCCCCATCCCCCCCTACCGCCTACATGCCACAATGTTGGCCCTTCACCCAGTCGCCTGTGCTGTTGACTCCCTGCAACCGTTCTGTTCAAGTCCAGGTTCAATAACTTTCTTCTATTTTTCCTGCGAGAGGTTAGGCCCTGGCTCGCGTGTGTATATGTATATATATACATGTGGGAAGCGGTAGTGTAGCGGGTAGCGCGAACCGGCAGAGACCCAAGTTCGATTCCCGCTCATGGGTAACACCAGTGATGATTGTGTGAACCGGTCATGGGCCTCCCCTAGGTCGACTCAGTCTTAACTATGTATCTGATGCAATGTGTGAATATCGCCACTGGGGAGACAAAGGCGCCCGAGCGTAGTGCTGCCACCCACCCCCTCGTGTGCCGTGCCAGCCTTCATCGGTGCTCGTTTGCAGCACTTGCTACAACTGTCTGTACAGGCTATACGGCGGGACCTTTGTCTTTGTTATCTATATATATGTAACGGTGTTATTGGGCCAAGATGCACCGTTCTCATGCGGTCACCAGCAATACCGGCCTCATGCCAAACGGGGCAACAGAAGGGCTGAGCCCAGTGCTGAGAGTCTGCGCGCCCCAGGGTCCAACGGTTACCCGATGGACCAATACTGTATGTAAAAGGGGCAGACCCCAGGAGAGGGGCTGGGGGATGACATCATACCCCGATCCTTCTCGAAGGTTCGAGAAGGAAGGCGTGGCCGGGGCGGAGCGAGCCACGGCTCTGTATAAAAGCCGGACCTCTGGACGGTCCCGGCAGTCTTTGCCCAGCTGAAGACTAGAAGGCTCGTAATAATAATAGGGGTTTCCCCCTTTTTTCTGGCAACAAAACTGAAACCTTTTTGCAAGGAATCATGTGTGCATTAACCACAATACTTGCAGTCAAAATGCAAACAAAAAACAAACACTGATAATTTATGCATTGTCCTTGAAACTGATTGGTCCACACCAGAGAGAGCTTTCTTTTGAGCCTCGTCTCAATTGGTGCTCGACCAGATGACGCCAAAAGGCGTACAGCTCAAAGACAATGCACTATCAAAGTAATGAGGGCTCGGGGTAAGCATCTACATCATTAGACCTCCTTTGCATATATTATCAGTGTGTTTTTTGTTTGCATTTTGACTGCAAGTATTGTGGTTAATGCAGACATGAATCCTTGTAAAACGATTTCAGTTTTGTTGCCAGAAAAAGGGGGAAAACCCCTATTATTATATTTTGGTACTGGCAATGGAGGTCGAATGACAAGAAGCCTCCTGAAGACTGAAGAGCCCCGAGGGCAGGGCCGTACCCCTAGCAAGGGTCGGCTCCAGCTTATTTACCAGTGAAGATTCAAGCTTCACTGGCGGAGGACTTGTAGATTAGCCAGGGAGAGGTGTAGTAGTCTGGAGAGTAACCTCCATCGTGTATCGGGTGTGAGGGGCCGTTATCTCTCTGTGTTAAGTGCTAATTGTTAAATAAAAACTGTGTTGCCTCAGAGAAGCCTTCTTCTAGTTATTCAACCCACTACAAATATGGAATGGAAATTTGTGGATATGTGTGTCTGTTCGAAATGTTTCGCATACTTCCCAACATTCTACAAACTTGAAATTTGGCATGTGAGTAGCTCCCATACTGTACACAATATAAAAAGTATAAAACATACTTTTGTATTGGGGGGGGGGGGTGGGGGAATGACCATGAAGTGTGTGGCGTCAACCAGCATACAGGACTGGTGAGAATCGATATCTAGGGAGCGTTTGCGGTTTCGATTAAACGGGAATAGGCCAATTCTAAAGAAATCTACAACCTTTGATTCATTTGTTCGATTTAAAGAATCGATTCTTGGTGCGCGAGCGTAAGTTTTTTTTTTCCCACCGCACGTTTTGTGTTATTTTAATTCTAATTAATGAGGTAATGATCAAAGTTTTATTTTCATTTATCGTTAAATTGCTTTAAAAATCTATAATTATATGAATTATAAAGAATAGGGTTATTGTGTACATGTCCTCTTCTCCCCCTCCCACCCCAATGTGTGCAGTTACTACTATGGTATAGTCAGTCTATACTGCTACAGTCTGCAGATACTACTATAGAGTCTGCAGATAATACTATAGAGTTAGTAGTTACTACTATAGTATAGTCAGTTTATACTGCTACAGTCGGTAGATACGACTATAGAGTCAGTAGACACTGCTATAGTGTCTGCAGATACTACTATGGAGTTAGTAGTTACTACTATAGTCAGTAGATACTTCTATTGAGTCAATAGATACCACTATAGATTCAGTAGGTACTACTATAGTCATTAGATACTACTGCAGTCAGTAATTATTACTGTAGAGTCAGATACTACTATAGAGTCACTAGATGCTACTCACTCTATTGTATGTAGGGTGTTTAGGTATATATGCCTACGTGGGGGTAAAAATATTTTGGGGGTGGCGAGGGGGGGTCGACAATTTTCGGATACCTTTTAGATCAACTATTTACCCCCCACTTTACGTAACTTTTTTGACTTATAATTTTGTTGACGGACAAATGGACAGACAAGCCGCATGCCAGGCTTTCACAATAGCTTAGTATTTGTGTATGTATATGTATTCTAGACTTGAAGCTTTCGTGACTGCAAGGAATCATATTCTTAGGTGTTTTCGGTAAAGTCACGTAGGTAAAACATCAAAATTAATAAAAATAATAAAATAAAATAAAGATCACGACGTTTCGGAGGCAACACAAGTCTCCGTCATCAGGTGGGACAGTCACAGCCAGATCAGCTGCATCAAGTGAGGCAATGATTCAAGATGTAATCCCTTAAAAGCGAGTTGAGGGGGGGAGGAGGGGGGGGGGAGGGGCTCATCAGAATGTGGTAGCCAATGAATGGAAAGTATCGGGAGAGAAGGGCCCACCTTTTTGTTGGCCCTTCTCTCCCGATACTTTCCATTCATTGGCTACCACATTCTGATGAGCCCCTCCCCCCCCTCTCCTCCCCCCCTCAACTCGCTTTTAAGGGATTACATCTTGAATCATTGCCTCACTTGATGCAGCTGATCTGGCTGTGACTGTCCCACCTGATGACGGAGACTTGTGTTGCCTCCGAAACGTCGTGATCTTTATTTTATTTTATTATTTTTATTAATTTTGATGTTTTACCTACGTGACTTTACCGAAAACACCTAAGAATATGTATATGTAATATGAGGATATATCCGGCTCACTGACGTATCACAACTCGTCATGGTGATTGGCTCTGCCGGTCCTGGTTTACAGCCAATGGGGGGAAGCCTGGGGGCATGGCCCTGACGTGATGGAAAGGTGACAGCTATAAGGATTGGTTCTGCTGGCTTTGGCCACAGCCAATGGGGAGATGAGTCAGGGGCGTGGTCCCGGGAGCTGACGAGGGAGCCTGGAAGATTCCATGCAGGCTAACGAGGATTGGTGGAAACGTACCACGTGACCCGGGTATTAAATAGGGGTGGAGACGAACAACACGTGGTCAGAACGGGAACGAACAGAGGAAGGGGGCCACGCGGAAGCGGGGCTCCGAGTTGCCACGTGGCAGTGCGTCTCTCTCTCTCTATCTGTCCCTCTCACGCTGCCTATCAGCAGCATGAAGTAAACTGTAACATAAGTTGAATAAAAGACGGATTCCAGAAGTCGCCTCAACGAGCTTTATTACATATATGTTATGTTTTTAAGTTTTGAGAAGTTTTGAAATATATTTTTCCCCCGGGCAACGCCGGGTACTTCCCGCTAGTACATGTATATATCTCGCTGCCGCCGCCACCGCTACCGCCCGCTAGGTTCAACGCAGGCTCGGGGTCGGCAGTGCTGACGAGCCGGAAGGAGGTGATGGCTGACGAGTGGCACCAGGTGTGGGTGGAGCGGACGCATCGGACCGCGGTGCTCTCGGTGGACAAGGAGCCGCCGGTGATGGGCACGAGCCCTGGCTCGCTAGACAGCCTCAATCTCGACTCCGAATTCTACCTGGGAGGGGCGCCCCGCGACCTCATGCCCAGGTGAGCGTGCAGAGCGAGCGGTTCTTGCGGGTCGTGATGTCGCGAGATCGTGGGGTCGACAGGCCAAGAACAGTTTCTGGGTTGTTTTGCTTGAAGACGATGACGTGGTGGTGGCGGCGGCGGTGGTGGTGGGGTGCGGTGGCGCAGCGGTTCGTGCCCCATGCTACAAGCCCGGCGACCAGATTTTGATTGCCGCTCACGGCCAACGCCAAGTGACGATTTCCTGAACCCGTCCTCGGCCTTCCCTAGGTCGACTCATCCTTAATTCTCAGACCGGTAATGTTTGGTAAATCAGCACAGAACCAAAATATACACATTTTGTACAGCAATTAGTGCCCGAAATGGGACCATCAACTCGCAACAATTGAAAACCCGTTTGAATCACAGGCTGCGGTTGAAACCCATATTTGATTCCCAGGATCTCACCATGCCACCTCTTCCGCAGTAAAACAAAAAAAATCGGTTATCTTTAATTCTCCAATCTTAATCTCGACTGTGCTTTTGGTGTAATACGTCACGGGACGAAGATTAATTCCGGATCTCTGGCGCGATCCGTCCGTGTTGGAAGACGGGCCCGCACATAAGCGGATATTGTAGAACAACATTTGAGCTTCTTCCCACCCATGGCGGCAGCTGAACCAACGTTTTGAACTCTCCATAATAGAAAGATTTTTTTTGGGGTTATATCGCGTAAATATGTGTCGTTAAAACCGCTGCCACCCGACAGCCAATTATTGAGGTCTATCAGGTGAACAAACTAATTTGCACGTTCTGTTTACGTGACAAACCTTACTAATTGGCTGTGTCGGGTGGTGACGTGTTTAATGACACATTTATATTTATGCGATCTAACCCCTCCCAAAAAAAGTATGGATAGCCACTAGAGCTACGCACTTTTAAATCTAGATTGAAAAATAATTTCTTTAAAACTGCTTTTTGTGTTTAGATTGTTGTCCTTTCCCCGCACCTCCAATTAGCACAGTTGGCTACGTACGGTGCGAAAGAAGTTCAACGTACAACATACATACAGATGGAACAGGTAGAGTCCATATTTGTTGTACTGCCTTCTGCTGGCGAGTCCACGGTATGGAACCTCATGGACGCCCACGAAAGTTTCACAACAACATCAGCAGCTGTGTGTGGCGGTGACCCACCAACCCTCGCTGCTGCTGCCTCCACAGGGCTGGACTACAGGCAGCCACGTTCTGCACACCAGTTTACAGTACGAGTAACAAATTCGTACTGTAAACCTTACTAATTGTCTGTGTCGTATGGTGCAGGGTCTATTGACGCATTTATATTTATGCGATCCAACCCAAAATCCTCTTATGGATTAAGTAAACACACCGCCGCTCCCAAACCCACTATGCCAATCGGCATAATCAGAACCGATCAACATCATGCGCGGGCGGGGGGCGGTTAACAACAATGTTCCCGCCCTGCACCACCACCCCCCCCCCCCAACCCTGCAGGATCGTCGATCAGACAACCGCTATGAAGGGCTTCATCGGCTGCATCAACCACCTGAGCCTCAACGACGTCAAGTTCTCGCTGGCGTGGCCACCGGGCCGCTTGGTGGCCAGCGGCCTCGCAAGCCCCGGCGTCCTGCACGGCACCTGCGTCGCGGGGTGCAGCGCCAACCCGTGCCGCCCGAACCCCTGCTACAACTCGGGCATCTGCGCATCGCACGAGTCCGAGCCCTTCCAATGCACCTGCGAACCGGGCTTCACCGGTGAGACGTTTGGGGGGGGCGTGAACCCAGACCCCTTAAACCAGGAGGTCGGCAACCAAAATAACAATAAAAAAATATTTGCATGTGAATACGAGATGGTGGTCCTTAATAAATGACGTCACGAAGCAGTCCTTAAAGAGTCGCATCCGGCTCCGGAGCTGCAGGTTGCCGACCCCTGCCTTCACCCCCTTACCCCTTGACCCCAGCACGCCTCCCAGAGTTCAACGGTGAGATGGGGGGCCGTAAACCCCAACCCTTAACCCCTTACTCCTTAACCCCTTACTCCTTAACCTCTTACTCCTTAACCCTGAACCCCAACTCGCCTTCCAGGACTCACTGGTGAGATGTGGGGATGAACCACATCCGGATGAACCACACACATAAACACCAATTAAGTGGAAGAAAACATCTTGATATATAGAGGACCGCAGAGCTTGGGCAATTGTTAGTGCCGGCTCAACCACGTGGCTGTTGCTGCTGACTTCCCGCTTTGTTCGTGGTTCCTCAGCGATTGTGAAAGATTCAATTTGCACGAACGATAACGACCATGACGACGATTTGTATAACAAATACGAAACAAGAGTGAAACTATAAACGCTCGACCGACCATCGCAATGGGAACACGGAAATTTCCACCGCCAGCTCCGGCACCTTCCTCCACTCGTTTGAGCGCAGGGAGTCCCTGCGTAGGCCCGCGTCCGTTTTTGTTGTTGTTCCTGTTTATTAATCGACTCTCTCTTGGTTCGATGGCACCGCTCGCTCATTTCTCTTTCTCAGGAGCCACGTGCGCTGACCGGCCGCAGCCGTGCAAGTCCAGCCCCTGCAAGGGGGGCTCCAAGTGCCTGGTGCTGCCCGATGGCGACTACAAGTGCGAGTGCCCGTTCAACCGCGTGGGTGCCAAGTGCGAGACAAGTAAGTCGCGCGGGCGCTGCCACCCGATACGATTTCAAATTTGCGTCGCGCATCTGCCGGGCGGCGGTGGCGTACACCGCACATGGCCAGCCCTTAATCCAGCAGCGAGGGTTGGCGGATTGCGCGCGTGCGCAGCCGTTGAGGACATCGCTTCCCCGGTGGGCGTTGGGAGCAAGCCCGTACGTGCCCCGGCTCGCCAGCAGAAGCCGGCGCAGCAAATGTGGACCCCGCCTGTTCAGTCCATATGGGATAGAGTGTTGCCCCCTCAGCATGCATGAGTTTTATTCAGGCGCTTCGGTTTCCTCCCGCATGTGAACACTCAAATTATTGGCCAATAACATCTTAACGTATGGAGGACTGCCACCGGTCACGGTCTCGCGATGTAGCAATTCGTTTGGCTCCTGCACACGAGCTGATCTCATGACTTTGGCTGCCACTCTGTCGTAAAATTATCTTGAGTAGTCAAAACAATAGAGATCTCAGAACTGGAATAATACGACAGAAACAGTATCCGCGATTGAACGACAAGGGACGTACGTAACAAACGAGCGAACGCGACCCACCACACAGACTTAAGTACGCGCGATAATGAATGCATGAATGGACGGAAGGGTGAATGAGCAAAATAACGCTGACGGCCGGTGGTGTACGTCTGCGTCCGTCCTACGTTATGGCTGTCCTGACCCGCGTGGCGGTCCGGTGGCTCAGAGATGATCCTGAGCGGAGCCTCGTTCATCCCTTCCTTCAACGGCCTCACGTCATACATTGAGACAAAGAGCCTGGACCTGCTCGCGCCCAACGCCAAGTGAGACCCCCCCCCCCTCGCCCCCCCTCCCCCCTCATCGCCCACTCCCCACCCCTCGTCGTGGACACTAAACGCACCCCCTCCTACTGTACCATAGTGAAGTGAATTTAATTGTTGTTGGAAATTTTTGTTATCTCAATCGCCGTCGAGATGAATACTTTCTTGGCTCTCGAAGAGCAGCGCAAATCCCTCCATGTTGGACTACAGTCGTGGTGGAAGGAGACATTGCAGAACTACTTCTGAAGTTCCTTCTTTTGAGTCTCTTTTACCTACATCTTGTATATGCCCTTCCAAAAGAATGTCAATCAAACCAAGTGATATTTAAGATGTTTTCTCGGGTAGAGCCAAATCGGCTAATATAAACAGCCTATATTTTTCATCTCACATTTTAATAATTAGCTTCGGAAAGTGCACAAAATATATGCAATGCACCTGCGAGAGTAGGTTGTGTCGGTCTTAGTTATTTAAACGCTGTTAATTTATATTTGGCTGCGATTTTGTTGACATTTTAGAAACCAGATCACAGTGGAGGTCGTGTTCCTGATGCGGAAGCCCGACGGGATGATTTTCTACAACGGGCAGAAGCCAGACGGCCGAGGGGATTTCATCTCCTTGGCGATAACCAAGGGGTCTTTGGAGTTCCGCTATGACCTGGGCAAGGGTGCTGCAATCATAAGGTGAGGAGGGCAGCGGTAGGCTAGCGTTCACCCAGCGGTGACCCAGCGGTGGCCCAGCCGTGGCCCAGGTGTGGCTCAGTAGTGGCCCAGCTGTGGCCCAGCTGTAGCCCAGCTGTGACCCAACCGTGGCCCAGTAGTGGCCCAACTGTGGCCCGGTGCTAGCCCAGTGGTGGCCCAGCCATGGCCCAATAGTGGCCAAGCGGTGGCCCATGGCGTGTTACCCGCTCATTGCGGAGGTTCGCGGTTCAATTCTCAGCGGCCGCCCTGGTTATTTATTGTCCATGTGCTTTTACCGTAAACGTACCACGTGCCGTCCATTTCACGGTGGACGTTGAAAGGTCGCTTGGCGTCGGACGAAAGAGCAAGCCATCGTGCGCCGGCGTTACAGTCCAAATTTGCCAGATTTGGAAAATAATTGTTCCGGTGAAGTACTCAGTTGGGATTCACCGGAGCAATCGTCGCCCCACGACTTCGAACACTTGGCAGGAACCTCATGAAAAAGAGTCGTCAATGAGGCTTTCCTGGGTACACAAGCGTAGTAAAAAAACAACATGCACACAAACCCATTGCTGCTTGTGCAGTGTTCATGATGATTGTGCTTGATGAATAGAAATGGATGATGTCGATGATGACGACGACGATGCTCAGTGTACCGGTTGGATGAGTCACACCATGCCCCCGTCTAGTTGCTGGAAAGTTTGACACAGAAATTACTCGCGGTCCCAATATCCGCCGAGCCCTCGTCTCCGCCCCCACTGAGCCTCAAGTGAACAACTCGCGTCGCGATAGCCGCACGAGCAACGCGATGTTGTAATTAGACTCCGGTGTTGTCCGCTAAGCCATCTCGCCCGAAAAAATCTGCACGTGCGACAAAAAAACGTGCAATTTCTTATCATTCGGCGTCGTCATTGTTGTTGTCATCAGCCATGATCAATCCACTGCTGGATGAGGGCCTCCCTGTGCAATCCCCGCCGCTGCTGCCGCCACCATCTCTCATGCTCCTACAATGTAAACAATTTACGACTATAATGAGCCACGTTGGCCAGCCCCCCTCGTTAATAATCATGAACAAGCTACGTCCTCCACATGGACACCCCCTCATTAATAATCGTGAGCGGGTGACGTCACTAAACATGTAGCACCCCCCCCCCCCCATCCATTAATAATCATGAGCAGGTGACGTCACTCCACATCGAACAGCCCCCCCCATTAATAATAATTAGCGGCTGACGTCACTCCCCAGGGGGGGGGGGGGCGAGGCGCCTCCTCCCCCCTCCTCATCGTCAACTCACAACCCTCACTACAAAGGCAGAACCCTCACGTCACGCGATCTCCATAACGTTGTTGAGACATCAAAGTAAAAAGGACGTCATGATGAACAAGGGATTATAACCTTAAAATTTAATAAGTCTCTGTCACTGCGGCCTTACAAATTGCACACGAATTAATGCAATGAATATCACGTCGCGGTCTGCTTTACGCTTGCAAGTTTCAGATTTACTGAAATACACCCGTCCTTGGAGGCTAGTACAGATATTTCTCAACCCACTCTTTCTGGACACGTGCCCGAGCTGTCAATCCCAGATCGATCTCTTCAGCCATCTTCAGACCCACAGAAGGTCCTACTTTTCTACAGTTGACAATCATCCTCGACTGTGAGGGGCAACCCATGATGATGGCACCGCTAGGGTCAACCCATCGGGCGGGAGAGTTGTTGACGTGTAATGCGACCGCCGCTGCCGTTGTCCGCGGCGGGGCCAGGTCCACGACGCCCCTGATGCTGAGCGTCTGGCACACGGTGACGGTGTCGCGGACCGGGCGGAAAGGCTTCATGAAGATCAACAGTGGCTCCAAGGTCCTGGGGGAGGCTCCCGTAAGGACACCTGTCGTCCGATGTTGACGCACGCACATGCACACAGGCGCACACAGGCGCACACACGCTTGCACAAAGGCAAAGATCCCCCGTGTGGCCTTCAACAGAATGTCGGGGCAAGTGCTGTTCGCGAGCAGCACCTAATGAAGGCCGCCACAGCACACCAAGAGGGTGGGTGGCCGGGCCACACGTCCGACCGCCTTTGTCTCCCCAGTGCCGCTAAGGTACTCATTTGAGGCCGAGTCATCCTTCGGGAGGCCCAGGAGCGGTTTAGATAATCGTTACTGGTTTTGGCCACGAGTGGGAATCGAACTCGGTCTTCCGGGGGTTTGTACCTGGAGTGCGGTAACCACGACGCTACCACTCGTCACACACGCGCGCGAGTGAGTGAGTGGACGAGTGACCAGGTGAGAGGGCGAGTGAGTTTGTTCTGACCTGCAGTGTGGTGGATGAACGCGATGTGGATAAGACGAGTCTGGTAGACCCTCACATTCGGAAAATGCTAATGAAAGAATATATTTGAAAAATCTATTTGACTTTGCTTTTTGTGAAAATCATTGCTGCGGGGTCTGAACACTCATTGGGCGCTTTGGTGATGCAAAAATTCGAATGAATAAAAAATAATGCAGCGTGCAGGATTGGTGGATCACCCCGAGCCCATACCTGTGAGTCTTCCCCGCCTACTACAGCACATGTGTATGAACTTCAGTGTTAAGGGTTGGTACAGTACCCTACAGCATGCAAAAAAAAATAAGAATTGCCCAACTAAGTCACAGCCAAAACATGCTTTTATTTTTAATATTTTCTCACTATATATAAAAAAAAAACTACTTTACGTCGAGTATTAATCCGACGATGGCACTTTGAGTGTCAGGTGGTGCCAGAAAGGTTCCGACACGCATGTAAACAAAACTACATTTTACTTGAAAATATTGAGTTCTCGCTGTGGCTATCTTCGCCGGGGGGTGGCGTTGAAGCCTCCACTAATTGACACGACGAACGGTCTTGACGCTACACACTGGGGCAGAAACGAATGTTCACTTAACGTTGCCGTACCGATTGTCTCGTTCCAACGCCCGCTTTGGATTTGAGAAATCGCGAAAGGTAACTTGCTTGACGTGCCGCTGCGCTGTGAAGTTGTCTCGAGATGCTTTGTGGAGTTTATTTTACAAGAGTCCGGGATACACAACATTGTGTTTAATGGCTGATATTCATAATCGTACAGTCAAAATACATACAGTATTCATCGTGTATTGTGTATATTTGTAAAAATAAATCGGTAATTTCCTACTCAAATGAGTATTGTGGGAAGTGGTGCCCATCTCCTGTTTGCAACCCTGCAGAGCCAGTGGTGGAAATTCGATTTTCCTATGGTGGGGTTGAGTCTCGCTATTGATAAGCACGGCTGACTTGCCATAAAGTGAAACTGATTTTATTGAGCTCGCTCACTCAAACCCTCGTCTGGTCACTCACCAACTCGTTCACTCGCTCACTCACCCACTTGCTTGCCCACTCACACATTCACTCACCCGCTCGCTCACCCACCCACTCACTGAATCACCCACTCGTTCGCTCACTCACCCAACCACTTACCCATTCGCTCGCTTATTTACCCACCCACTCACTCATTGACTCACCCATTCGCTCGCTCACTCACTCACTCACTGACTCACACATTCGCTCACTCATTGGCTCACCCATTCGCTCCTTCACTCGCTCACTCATTGACTCACCTATTCACTCGCTCACTCACTCATTGACTCACCCATTCACTTGCTCACTCACTCAGTGACTCACCCATTCACTTGCTCACTCACTCATTGACTCACCCATTCACTCGCTCACTCATTGACTCACCCATTCACTAGTTCACTCACTCATTGACTTACCCATTCAATCGCTCACTCATTGGCTCACCCATGTGCTCGCTCACTAGCTCACTCACTCATTGACTCACCCATTCACTCGCCCACTCATTGACTCACCCATTCACTCGCTCACTTATTGACTCACCCATTCGTTCACTCGCTCACTCACTGACTCACCCATTCACTCACCCATTCACTTGCTCACTTACTGATTGACTCACCCATTCGTTCGCTCACTCACTCATTGACTCACGCATTCGCTCACTCACTCATTAACTCACCCATTCACTCGCTCACTCACTCATTGACTCACCCATTCACTCGCTCACTCACTCGCCTGACCGCTCGTGCTTTGCCTCTCCAGGGGAACCACCTGAGCCTGGACCTGCGGGAGGCGCTGTTCCTGGGCGGCGTCCCGGACTACACCCGCACCGCACGAGCCGCCGCCGTCACCTCCGGCCTGGACGGGGCCATCCAGAAGGTGTCCTTCTTGGCCCTGCCCCTTCTATTTCAGGGCCCATGCGTGCACCTGCTGGGGCTCAAGAATAAATAAATATGACGATAAAGAAATCAACTGACAGATACGCAATTTCGTCACGCGCGCTGTCTTCGTCATGGAGAAACCGCAGTCCAGTGGGAAGGCGGCCAGTACCGGCGGCAAACAATCGCCCAAGCTCTGTGGCCCTACGTTGGAATGTTCCGCCAACTCCATTCATGACCGTTTATAGACGTGGGAGGAAAGTGGATTACCCGGGGGGGAAAAAAAAAACCCACGCGAAAACCCAATTGCGAGGGGCCAACACTCCCTCCCCGTACAGATGGAATACAGATGGATATCAATCCACTTGCTGTACTGCTATCATACCGTGCCAAGCCAGGAGACTGTTACCTCGCAGCCCAGCGGGTTTGGGGGTTTTACAAATGTGCGTGCGATCCGCCAACCCTCCCTCACCACCTCTACAGCGCTGGATTACAGGCCACGTGCAACCGAAGCCACCGGCGCTTCGTGCTCCGAACGTGGTCACGCTAACCATGCTAATGACCGCGCGTCACTTTTTAAGCGTCCGAAATGCGCGTCCAAAAATTGTGGAACTTGCCGTCGATTGTTCTCCGTCTCACTCGGCGCCGACTCGTCAATTCCGCCCGCTTCATTTACGCGAGTTCCGTTTGCTCCCGTTACCTTAAGCGTCACGTTGGCAGCTCCGTTTTCCACGCGCAGTTTGCATTCGTCGTCGTAAACGATCGTTTTCTCACGGCGGGCATGCGCGCGGCATCGCAGCGCGTTCCGCGAAAGCCCGAGGATGGGCTTGTTTGAAACCACGAACGCTCGCGCGGCTCTGAATGTTTCTCCCCGCCTCCCCTGACCACGCAGTTCTCGGTGAGTGGTTTTAACGTGCTGCTGGACGTGGTGAGCTCGCGCTTCTTGCGGGACGTCACCACGTTCAGGGAACACCCGTGTACCTCCGGCAATAAATATTGCCGGAACGGCGGGACGTGTGTGCCCAACCTCTCCGGCTACGAGTGCAGCTGCCCCCGCGGCTTCTCCGGCAAGACATGCCAGACAGGTGAAGCCCTCTGTCTCTCCGGAACTGTCCATCTATTTGCCTTCCTCTCTGTGTGTTAGTGTACTATCTGTCTCTCTTCTGGTTTTGTCTGTCTGTCTATACGTTTGTCTGTTGATCTGTTAATATGTCTGAATGTCTGTCAATTTTGCCTTCCTATCTATTAATTATCTGGCGCAATGTGTGAACATCACCATTGGGTAGACATCCAAAGACAGCCGCGTGTGGTGCTGGCCACCCACCCCAACATGTGCCGTGCCTGGCCTTCAGGCACTCGCTAACTGCACTTGCCCCAACGGTCTGTTAAAGGCTATACGGGGGATCTTTGTAGAGGAGTAAAATGGGGACGTGACGTCAGGTGTGCCGTTCAGTGCGATGACGTCACGTCTCCTAGGGTACTTAAGGGATACCCCGTGATGTAAGCGGGGTCACTGTGGGAACGGGTAAAGTAAGAAGGGTGAAGAGGGAACCAGTGGGTAGAGAGAGGGATCGAATGGTGAGTCTGGGGAGAAGCCGGTGGTAGCCGTAGAGGTGTTTCTCTCTCCGCTCGGTGGAGTTGGCAGAGTCCACGATCCGACACGAGAGAGAGAGAGACCGGAGCTAGCCGGCAGGGACCCGGACTCAGAGTAGGACCCCTAGCCTCTGGGAGTTGTGTACCCTGCTGTGTAATATTGCAACAGCTTTAATAAACCCTGGCGAAAGCCCTTAACTTACCTCCGAGTACGTCCGTCGGAGCTTCTCTACATCTTTGTTGCAGCACCCACTGATCGCGCTGCAGTAGCTTTGGACGAGCCCGTGGCCTTCAATGGGAAAACCTTCATCGAATATCAAAGCAACAACGCCAAAAGGTAGAACCGTCTCCACGCGTCCCACACTACCAATAAACACTCGTGAATAGAATTGGCTAAACATCCCAGTATCGGACTGCAGAGCTTGGGCTATTGTCGCCACCGGCTCTGGCTGCCTTCCCACTGTGGTTTGCCGAGCCCCTGTTACAAATTCTACAGCGGCTTGAGAGGGATTTACGCTGGTTAAAAATCACGAGGAACTTACTGCCATGGTAGCATCTACGTGCTAATTGTTATACAGCACTTTAATATTAACACTTGCCAATTAAGGGTGTACATGTCCCTGTCATGGGGAATGTTGAATCTTAATTTACAGCCGTGAGTACCACCAAACTACAGTTTAAGTTTACGGACAGTTTTACTTGCGACTGAATATAAATATGTGCACTCTAGTGCAACAACAACAACAACCGCCATTCGCCACTAAGCGGCGGTGACATCACCACGGCCCTTGTGCCAGGTTATGTGCACGTTAAGGCCACTCTCGTACACACACACACACACCGCGTCATCCCGCTAACATGTTACATGCAACGTGTTATGTCACGTGCAACGTGTTCGTGGTGTTTATGTTTCCTGCAAACTACATTTATGCACTCATATCTGCACAGGGCATCGTTTTTTTTATCCACGTAAAAAAGGACAGCGATCTTTCGGCATGTGTTTTTGACTCGACTGATGCGACACGTGTTCCTGGGGTCGTCATCGGCGCAGGATTGTCAAACTGGTGGCACCGTGGGGGGCCACCAGTTTGGGCCACGAAAGCTCTTGGAGATAGCCACCGAGCAGTGGCCCGGGTGGCACTTAAAGAGATACAGATTAGTGCGACAATATGGAGATGAGAATAATAATAAGTACAACGATATAGATATGAGAAAGATGTGTTAAGATAGATTTGAAGCTTTCGTGACTGCGATGATTCATACTCTTTGTTTTATTCGGTAAATCCACATAGGTAAAATATAAAAGAAAAGAAAACAACTAAATTAAATCACGACGTTTCGGAGGCAACACAAGCTGTAGTAAGTTACTACGGTGACTTTGGCTGTAACGGTTCCACCTGAAGACGGAAGCTTGTGTTGCCTCCGAAAAGTCGCGATTTAATTTAGTTGTTTTATTTTATTTTTTTACCTACGTGACTTTACCGAAAAAACCAAAGAGAATGTGTTAAGATGAGATAAAAATAAATAAATAAATAAATGTAAGGTTGCACTCATCGCACACAAAGTGCTTGCCACAAGTGAACCACAGTACCTCGCTGATCTCGTCAAGGGGCATAAACCATCACGCGAACTCCGGTCATTTTCACAGCGGCTTATGACTCGCCATCGAACGAAGACGGGCACCGCATCGCACACTTTCAGATGCGCTGCTTCTGCGGCCATCTAGAACGCTTTTCCTTCCGATATTAGGAAGCCACTTTAAAATCTAGATTGAAAACTCATTTCTTTAGAACAGCTTTTTGTGTTTAGTTTGTTGTCCTTCCCCCGCACCTCCGATGAGCATGGTTGGTTACGTACGGTACGAAAGAAGTTCCACGTACGTACAAACCAGAGCTAGAGTTGAGAGAGCTGGAGACAAGATAGTATAGATTTGTGGGTACGTGTCCAGAACGTTGTGACATGGTGACGTCATAATGTTTTGTACACGCCACGATATGACATCAAGATGCTGTGTACATCTTTAATATTACAGCTTCCGTCCTAGGATGGGCAAAAGGCTCATTTAGCATCAGTGAAATACAGTGCGATAGTGACATGAAGTGAGGTGTTTTAGGACATAGTTTGTGCAAGCATTACTGCCATTAATACAGTGCTACAGTGTAAATTAAGATTCTTTAGTGCAAGATTTATCGCCATTAAATTTACACAAGATACTGTTATACTCTGCTCAATTTTTTCGTAAATATTACAGCTTCCGTCCTAGGACGGGCAAAAGGCTAGTATAGCTATAATGATTATTTACACTCATACACCCAGCAAAAGCGTGTGTCGCTAGATGTGCTACAGCCTACACGGGAGGGCAATTCTAAATTTGGTGCCACTCCGTCTGTGACATTGTCTTGGTGTGGTCTGGGACCGTCCTCGCTATTGTTTTGCTGCCTTGCCCGAGCTTGTAAACTGGTGTACTCATGCAATTTTGATTTATGTACTTCCTCCACTTTACGCATTTATTTTTAGCGATTTGCTTACATTTCCTATACTTTGCACTGCTATCGTGTTTTTGCGTCGTTGGTTTTGTTGTAACTTTCTAAGTCGCCCCCGACTGGACATCTGCGAAAAAGAGCTTCCGTAGCTCGTCGGATTCCTTTTCCGATCGACAAAGAAAGATTCTGATTTTAATATCAGGAGCACTCAGCCCACCCAGGGTTCTTTCCATTCTTCCTGCGGAGGATAAACGGTCGGGCCTATCGCCTGACCGGTAACGATATTGCCCCGTTGTCTCTCTCTCCGCACGCAAGCCACGTGATGAACGAGGTCCCCGAGTGAGTACTCCTTCACCGTCGCCGACTCACGCCAACGCATGCCTGCCCGCGCGCTCGCACGCTTGCACGCACGCACGACAAAGCACGGTTTTGCTCGTCGTGGAATTCCCAGCTCCGTGGCTCAAAACAACTCGGTAAAGTCACGTAGGTAGAAGAAAATAATAGATCACGACGTTTCGATCGCAAGCACAGGCAATTCGTTAGCAGTTTTCTTACTGTGGTTGCCTCACCTGATGACGATTGCTTGTGTTGCGATCGAAACGTCGTGATCTATTATTTTTTTCTACCTACGTGACTTTACCGAAAGAACTAAAGAGTAGAGAAATGATTCCGGAGCGATGAACGTGCGTAAGCTGGGCGCGCACGTAACAACATTCACATCACAGCAACACGTGTTGAGCTACCAAATGGGCGCCGGGTGGCGAGACGTTATCTCTCTCTCTCTCTCGACCCTGACGCCTGTGATATGTAGAGTTTGCGTGCTCTCTCCGTGGTCGCGCAGATTTTTTCTCCGGGTCCTCCGGTTTTCCCCTCCATATTTAGAATCAACGTCACGCGTTCAGAGTATTTGGCTGCTCTAAATTTCCACACGATAAGCCATTTTGTTGAGGCTATAATATGTGGCCACGTCGCTTCTGAAAAAGAGCGTTATATAGCTCAGTGGGCCTTACCTGGTAAAATAAAAACTAGTTTTAGTTTAATAAGTTTAGTTTTCTTCGGCTTCATCGGAATTCAGTTCTTGAAGAAGCTCCCAGCACGCGGAGCGAAACGTCGGGACAATACAGCGGGCGGCACGTGGCACGACCGGCAGATGCATCAGAGAGCCGGACAAGCGAGGCTTGTCCGTCTCTCTGATGCGTCACGAAAACTTCGTATAAATCATTTCTCTCTTTCCTCTTAAGTCCCGATTTCGCGGACTATGCAGCAGACCAGAGGTGAGTTAGCTCCCCACCTTGACGCCCGTCCCATTCGCATGACCATGTCATTTCCTGTCTCCACCGCTGTCGTCATAATCATCATCCGCCATCATCATCGCCATCATCTACTTTGATTGCAACAAACAAAAAGCACCGCATGCGATGGCTGCATGCGGTTTGTGTCGTTTATAGTTGGACTTTTCCTCCGAAAGTGACTGGTAACAAGGCAGCCAGTCAGGCTGGTTCCAGACGTCTCCCTCCACTACGAAAATGTCAATCTGGTGGACTGAGCTCCCTGAACATGTTGATGGTAACCATGGTAATAGCCACAGAAGAGTTATCAGGAAGTGACTGACCACCAGTGAGTGACTGAAGTAAATCAGTGAGTGCTGGGTCATCAGTCAACCCTGATTGCTGTAGGTCGAAATGCGTTCATGTTTGGCCATTTCCGTACCAACGGAAACCTCCACAAAACAGCCACAGATTTTACGAACTCCTTTTCACGAATAAATTCGTGAACGCGATTCAATAGAAAAATTCAATTCCGCCCACCCCCTCCCCATGCATAACCCCCTTCCTCCAGTGACAAGGCCCAGAAAACGAACTACTTCGAGATGAGCGTGCGTACGGACGCGACGCAAGGCCTCATCCTGTGGGCGGGGAAGGGGACGGAGCGTGCCGACTACCTGGCCATCGCCATCGTGAATGGCTACATCCAGATGACCTACGACCTGGGCTCGCGACCCGTGACCCTCACCTCCACCGTCATGGTGAACACCAGCAAATGGGTGCGGATCAAGGCTGTCAGGTATTGTGATTTGATCCGGGGCTTCTTTATCGTTTTGTGTTCCTTTCTCGGGCGCATTCCGATCGCGCTGCCGGCGCCGACATCACGAGACCAGCAATCGTCGGTGGCGCCGGCTCGCCGACCGGCAGCCCTCCAGCTCGTGTCTGTGGTTACCGCTCGCCGATTGTGATGCACAAATGGAAAAATAAAAACTCTCCGGTAGTGTGCGACTGTGGTCATCCGGAACAGACCGTACAACGTGTAATAATGGTCGTTGAGGCGACTTCTGGAGTCCGGTCTTTTATTCAACTTTGCATTACAGCTTTCCTTCACGCTGCTGACCGGCAGCGTGAGAGGGACAGATAGAGAGAGAGACACACTGCCATGTGGCAACCCGGAGCCCCGCTCCCGCGTGGCCCCCTTCCTCTGTTCATTCCCGTTCTGACCACGTGTCGTGTTTAATACCCGGGTCACGTGGTACGTTTCCACCAATCCTGGTTAGCCTCTATGGAATATTCCAGAGTCTCCCGGGACCACGCCCCTGACTTGTCTCCCCATTGGCTGTGGCTAAAGCCAGCAGAACCAATCCTCTACAACCAGCTGTCACCTTTCCATTACGCCAGGGCCACGCCCCTAGGCTTCCCCCCATTGGCTATGAACCAGGACCGGCAGAGCCAATCGTCGTGACGAGTTGTAATCCATCAACGACCCGGATATAACCTCACATTACAAACGTATAACCACGCAATCCCCCGATCCACAAATACGAAAGGGACATCGCGGCGATTCACTCCGCTGCTCCTGACGGGGTTGTCTGGCTTGACCACCTGAATGTGAAATTGGAGTTGTTGCTCTGCATCGACATCAGAAGCCCTACGATAGAAGAGACGTGATTTTGTGAGAGATGCAATTTGCGCGAACGATGATGACAAGGCTGCATAAAATTAATCAAGAGGCTATTATCATAATTATGAATTATTATTATTGGTGATCTTTTCTGATGAGTGTCCTGTGCGTACGCGGGGCAGGAACCAGCGTGAAGGTTCCCTGCAGGTGGGCAACGAGGCGGCGGTGATGGCCACGTCACCGTTCAAAGCCACGCTGCTCGACACGGACGGCACCCTTTGGCTGGGTGAGTGCGCAGCATGCGCCACGAATAGCCTAAGGAGGGTGATGCCTCCGAAGCTAAACTAAAACAAAACTATTTTTTATTTTACGAGGTAAAACCCTTTGAGCTATGTAGTTCTTTTTTAGACGCGACCTGGCCACAAACGATAGCTTAATACAGTGGCTTATCACGTGGAAATGTATAGCAGCCAAATACTCAAAACGCACGTTGATTCGAAATGTGGAATGAAACACCGGAGAACCCGGTGAAAAATCCATGCCGCCACGGGGGAGAGAGGCACACAAACTCCAAATATACAGCAGGCATCATGGTAGGGATCTAACCCACGATCTGTTGCATACCAGTCGAGGTAGTTAACATCTCGCCTCCTGGTTCTATGGCCGCCTTAACTTCATGTCGAACTTATTGAAATTACAAGCGGATATAACGTCGTGAACGTTTGGTTTCGGCGTGTGACGAATGTACCTCCCTTTTGACGTTCGAGGATCTGTCTGTGATTCACAGTCGCGATCTGATTCGAAAATCGAGCTGATTTTTTTCGTGGGCATTGTAGCAGACGCCGACACTCGCTGTGACTGGCGTGGCGGAAAAAATAACAACCCCCACCCCACGTGCACCCCCACGAGAAGTGAGCATGCCTAGATCAAGCGGGTATCTTGACATAGGGCTTCAAATTATTCGTAATGCTTTACTAGAACTAAGAATATTTGGTGGAGTGGGCGAGTGGTGATTTCCGACCCATGGCCAAAATCAGCAGGCGAGTGGTATCTGATTGGGTCCTGGGCGCTCACCGTTTCACCAACCCACACGAACCAGCGTGAAATATGGTCAAAATAACCTGCATGGCATGGGCCCTCATCCAGCAATGGATTAAAACAAACGGCTATAAAAGATTACTAACGTACTGATGATTATTTAATAATAATAATAAAGTAGTTCATTGATAATAATTATTAATTCCACGACCCACCGACGCAGGCGGCATGGGGAAGCCTCCCTACAACCTGCGTCTGCCCAAGGCCTACAGCACAGGCTTCGTGGGCTGCATCCGCGACATGGTGGTCGACCTCAAGGAGCTGCGCATTGAGGAGGACGCCGTCAACAAGCCCAAGATCTCGCACTGCACGGGGAAGTGAGCAACCGCCGGCCACGGACTGCCACCTCCGCCGCTACCACCGCCATTGCCACCGCGGTCACCAGGGCGCCACGTCGTTCCTCGCCGCCTCGACCTCGCGAAGCTTTGTGCCCCGCCGTCCCTTCCGATGCGACTCTCGCTCGAACCGATGCCGAGCTTGACGCGACGGTTTCATCGGTTGACGGGCAAGGGAGAGGACGGGGGAGGCGGCACGGCCGTGAAAGAGCTTGCTTTTGTCGTGCGTTGTTTGAAAGCGTCGTCACGTCGCGTCAGAGCGGCCACCAAGGCGATTTGCGCAGCCCTTGCGGTTGTTGTGGCCGTTTGCAAGGTGGCTTTTTGGGGTTCGCCAACACGTGAGCCGTGGTTTTTGCGACGCGCCGTGACCTCTGCTATTGGTTAATGTTTTATTCGTGCGGAAATAGGAGGGAGGATATAAAAGATGTATATGCAGCTTTAAGGGAGCCTCTTGGCTTCAAGGCTTGCGGCAAAGTTATGCTTGAACCGAAACAAGTGAATATATGGTATTTTATGAAATGCGTCTGCAAGGTTTGGTCATGTTCAGACAGGTTATTATATTAATACATAAAAAATAATGACTCATAATTACAGTATTGTGTAATCGGCAAATGATATAAGTGTTATCAAAGTTTTAATGTTTAACATCGTAGTCAACATTTTTTTTTATCATTATTGTGATTTTAAAAATTCTACTGCGTAAAGTCATCGATCTTTTCCAAAGGCTATCGTACCATTTTGTGACGTTTAGAAATGTAATTTGGCACTTTAAAGAGAAAACATTCGTTTAAAATAACTGTCAACTTTGTCATTGACGCTGTATGTCAATTTTAACTTGTGCAGGTCGCCTCGGAATGTTGTGCTTTATTTGCACTCTTGAAATACGAAATGTCTTCAAATTAGTTTTTCATTGTGGAATAATGTGGTGACTTAATTTTATTGTTTTTTTTACACATTATCCATCGTCAACCTCTTACTTATAATGCTCAAAAGTGTTCCTGAGATGCGGTCGCATTTTGACGCCAGGCCAATCCAAAATTTTATTGTAAATTGTATTGTACAGTATCAGTGATGGTGGCGCTATTTCCATTGTGCAGCTTCACTTTGGAGGTCTATCGTTCACATTTGAGAGGAGAATCGGTGCTGCTCATATCGACTAAAGATCTCATTGTGCGAGGTCCTTTACCTCAACTAAAGTATAAACTAAAACTTTTTTTTATTTGATCAGGTAAGGCCCACTGAGCTATATAGCTGTTTTTCAGCAGCGACCTGGCTACGTGGAAAATTATATCAGCCAAATACTCGAAACGCATGTATCTTGAATGTGGAGGGAAATACCGGAGAAGGCGGAGAAAAATCCACATGACCACGGGGAGAACATGCAAACTCCAACTATACAGGCATCATGGTCGGTATCGAAGCTACAATCTCCTGTATACCAGGCAAGGTAGTTAACATCTCGCCACCGCAGTGCCCCTTGATCAATCCAATACCAGCTAAACCATCACCGCTTGAGTTATCCACATTCTCTGTTCTCCAAGTATAGTGCTCTGTTTTCCTCGGCCAAATAGGCCGCTTCCGTGTGTCTTCGATGTATGTTTGGCCACTTACATTTGCCAAGACTTGCTGGACCTCTGTTCATGATCCTATGTGGCCGCAGGTGGAAATGCATCAAATCTAAATTGCAGTAAGATGTTCTTTGTGACTTGGAATCCAGGAGGGGGTTTGATACTAGTGCTTTGAGAAAGACATTTAAGAGAGACGTGACCTGACGAATTTGCGGGGTTACATTAAACGCTACCAAAAATGGGGAGATTTGTGGAAACTGATCAATGCTGGGAAAAAAAGAACTGGACCAAACTCACTGTGCTTTTTCTGTTCCATGCGCTTTTGTTACCCATAAACCACTCGGCGGGTGTGTTTGTCACCTAAACATTCACTGCCTTTGTTGGGGAAACAAACCTTCATGGATACCAAACTTGCATGTAATGAAAAGTCACAAATAATACATCCTCTATTATAAACCGTGAAATCAAAAAGAGAAAGTATTCCAAAATATTTAAGTATTGTTTCGTGTAATCGCCTGAAAAAAAGGTCATGTGACGTTTCTTAAGGCGTCTTAAATAACGGGAACGAACGAGATTGTAAATGTTGTGGATTTGCTCTCCACGCCAGTGTGCTGCACGAGTAACGAATTGGCATGTTGTGTTTACGTGACAAATCTTACTAATTGGTGGTGGCGGGTTTAACGACACATTTTACATGATCTAACCCAAAAAAACGATATTATGGATGATATTGGTCGCTCAAAGTCTTTCGGTAAAGTAATGTAGATAAGTTCGTTGTTTTTTGTTATTTTCTTTGAACCTATCTACGTGACTTTACCAAAAGACCCAAATAATATTAATTCCTGCAGTCACGAAAGCTTTAAGGCAAGATTTAGCTTGTACAAGTGAAAATTCAAAGAACGCTCGGCATACAAATGTGGAAACACCGCCTAAGACCGTCGACCACACGTTAAACCAACGTGACATTCAGCGGAGGCATGCAAGCAATCTTAAGCCATTTCCGAACTAATCTGGGCAGTGGAGCAAGCGGGTTCCTGACAGCATAGTTTAAGTGTCTCCGTGTGTAGCGTTTTACCCATGAACACGAATTTCCTCCCAAGTGCAAAAAAAACTACTTCAAATGGACGTGGCAATAATATTTCCAGACAATAATCTTTGAGGCTCATTCATGTGTAAGATAAAAACAAAAACGTTCGATTATAGTAGGCATCAACATCGTGCTGGCAGATTGTTTCATCTCACCCATACTTTATTCAGACACAAACATGTGTTACGCAACATTTATCTTATTCCCTCCTTGCCCTGCTCAACTTTGATCAAACTCCCTCCCATCATCTCATTTCCGAATGTTGTATAGCCTTGCTCGTTGCAACAAACTTGCTTCATTTTTATCTGCATGATTATCCTTCTTAGTTTTAGTTGCCTTGTCTGTTGCCGTGTTGTTAGGCCTCTGGGTCTGTGCTCAGCCAACTGCAAAGGAGAGCAAATCAAAATAACGAGCAGTGTCCGACGTGAGTTGCAACTCGAAAAGAGTGAATCGTTGTTTCTCGTGAAAAGCGAACAATGAAAATGAATTATTTCCATCTTATATTGAATGTGGTTTAATTTTGATTGAGTATAAATGCCATTTTTCATGCTTGCATTACAGTATATTTATTTTTTTAACGTTTTTTTATATGATTTGTTTTTATTATTGATGCTTTAAATCAACTTTAAAGGGACCAGACAACTCACCTTTGGGGGGCTTTGGCCAGCCTCAAGGATGACCTTCAAAGGTCACAGGTCAATAATTTAGACGCTGGTGTGCGGGTATAACAAGATACTTTTTTTAAAAGAAATACATCGATGTATTAATTTATGTACGCAGATATAAATATCACATTAACGTCATAGGTCAACGCCCGCACTGTATCTGTGGTGTGAAAGGTTTGCGTTTGGCACCATGGATTGGTAGAGTGCCCTGTCTCATGAGTAACGCCGTGGTACAGAATGGTTCGCGGTTTGAATACGGAGAAGTTGCTTCCTGTGATGGGCAAAGTGGCATGGACTGTTCGGACTGTTGAGACCTTGTTTTAAAACAACAACAACAACAAAATAATTAAACTAATGCGACTCGTTGCAAGCGTTCGTATACCAATGTAACTTGCATGGAGCACGTTGACGGGTCAGACTGCAGGTCGATGTGACCAACAGAGAGAGTAAACGCCACGAATGTTGGTGGTGTAGGAGATTGGAATTTTGGCCCAAGTAACAAGCATAATTTTGTAGGCAACACTTTTTGTTGGGATGGGTGCCGACGGTGCTGTCTTGCACCGCTGTAAACCAGCAACTTGAATCCGAGGTTCGTGGGATCGCACAGAAATTGTAACCGTGACTCTCGTGGGATGCTAACCCGCAGGGAAGAAAATATACGGGTTGTAACAGCAAGTAGGTTGCCAACAGGCTACTTTTGTCGAGTAGAGTTACTATGATCTTCCCAGTCTAGAACTCGGAAAAAGGAATTGGTTAAACTTGACTTTTAAAAAATAGACTTCAAGCTTGCTGAGTGAATAATGGATCACCCATCGTGGAAAATGCGATGCACGCGGATTATAAAAGAATTAACTTTACCGATGCCAGTGTGTAAGAATTAATTTAATACACGGCGATGATATTTTTGTTGGTATTCGTTTGTTGTTGTTGTTGTCATTTGAGGACACGGTGCGACATTTAGGCTTGGATTAGTAACTAACCCTTAGGAGTGGGGGTTCTTTCCGCTTGGTGAAATTGTGTACACACCTCCTCCGTGCATGATTAATGAATGTGTAAATGTTCCGCTGTACGAGCGAGCCCATTGGGCTCGCTGTGTGCGCGTGTATGTGGAGGAGGCCTTCGTGAATACAGAAGGACCTTTCCATAACATATCGGCCCTCTATTGTGTCCGGTCTACCTGTGGTTTTTGTTGTGTCAAACGTCTCTGTTTTTTTTGTAATACAACATGCGATTATATATCCCTCGGAGTTATGTGCGAGAAATAAAATAAAAAAATCTTCCGTATGTAGCGCATCCGACTAGCACGGTTGACTACGTACGGTGTGCAAGAAGTTCAACATACATACAAAATTTCGATTTAAAGCTTTCGTGACTGCAGGGATTCATCTTCTTGGTTCTTTCGGAAAAGTCATGTAGAATGGAAATAATAAAATAATAAAAATAAACCATAATAAAATAATATCATTTTATTATGGTTTATTTTTATTATTACAATAATAAAATAATAAAAATAAACCATAATAAAATAATATTATTTTATTTATTATGGTTTATTGTTATTAATAAAATAATAAAAATAAACCATAATAAAATAATATTATTTTATTTATTATGGTTTATTGTTATTATTTTATTATTTCCATTCTACGTGACTTTACCGAAAGAACCAAGAAGATACATACAAAACTAGAACTTCAATTTCCAAGGCTAATTACAACACAGTGTTCGGCATCCATTATGGGTGGTGGTGGTGGTGGTCGTGGTAAAAGAGTCAAGGGAAGGAATTAAATACACAAGAGGGGCCCCCAACACAATAACAACCCCCTGCACCCCTCTACAGGAATCTGGAATTTCTGCCACTGGTTCGAGTCGACGAACCCCGACGTGCATCGCCCCATATTTTCACGCGAGCACCAAGGACGGCAATTTGACTTTGTAGTCGTGATGTACGCGTGCCCTTTTTGAATTATTAAGCGGTCCCTTTGAGTCGTAAATTAAATGTGTGCACCACACAGGGTTACAAAACACGTGACCGGGTCTCCTGGGGCCGATCGGGTCGGTGGGGATGGCTGGGATCACCGTAAGAGGCATTTAATTTAAAGAGCGCCCTTGCAATCGATCTCAAGGCCACGATTGAAAGGCTGCACCAGCTACTGCCAAGCTAAACTTGTCGCGTCAGACTGAAAGGGCAAAGGTTAAGTGCCTCCTCCATAGAGGGAGCTGGCGCAGTCCATTGTGTCTGAGTAACTTAAATTCTCAGCGAATGAAAATTATGTTTCGTCTTAAATAATTAACGTTTGTCATTCATACGAACGCCTGGGAATACCCCAGAAAGATCTAGAGTCTGTAGCTATGACCCTCACCAGGACAAGCGGACTGAGAAACGAGCGAAGAAATGAAAAATGACCGTTGCCTAAAGGAATATGACACCCTAAAACAAGAAAACGCTTATCTTGTAGATTTCAGCTGGAAAAGGTTTTCAGCTTGGTTTAGGGGGGAAAAAATTTACTTATCATATTCGGCACGAGTTGGATAACTTGATTTATGTTGAGGGCAGTACGTACAGCAAGGTTTATGTGCAGTAAACTGAGCGTTATTTCTTGCTCCACACATCAAGTCATGGTGATGAAGAATCCTATCGGAATTATTTCAAACCGGTGCATCCACCACGTGTTAGAAAACAGCTCGTGGAAGGAGATATCCCAGAACTACAGGTGACCTGGCGAGATGTTAACTACCTCGCCTGGTATACAGGAGGTTGTGGGTTCGATCTCGACTTTGACGCCTGCTGTATATTTGGAGTTTGCATGTTCTCCCTGTGGTCGCGAGGATTTTTTTTCCGGGCGCTCCGGTTTTTCCCTCCACGTTTAGAATCAACGTCACGCGTTTAGAGTAATTGGCAGCTATGAATTTCCACATAATGATGATAAGCCACTTCGTTGAGCGATCATTTGTGGTCAGGTCGCTTCAGAAAAAAAGCTCTATAGCTCAGTGGGCCTTACCTGGTAAAATAAAAAATAGTTTTTAGTTTATGAGAGGCAGGTTTGTATGCCGTACGACATTAATATGCCCACAAGGGGGCGTCTGATTTCGTGGCAGGGGGGGAACGCACGCTTATCTGATGGTGCCGATGTGTTGTTGGCAGTGGTGTAACGCCAATCCAGTCAAAGTGGATTGATTGATAAGTGACAAGATTTCCCAACGTGACTGGATGGATCCATTCACGTTAGGGTATAAGATAATATTCTTGGTTCTTTCGGTAAAGTCACATAGAAGGGAAATAATATAATAATAAAAATACAACAGAATAAAATAATTCTCACGACGTTTTTCTCGGACTCATCCTCGACGCGTAAATGGAGGGCTTTTTTCATCCATCATTTTGTTGGTCGATTTCATTTATTTTTTCGAGTACGTTATTAAATCTCGCCTTCTAACGCAACCTCCGTGACTTTCACGCGATTTTCTGCTGAACCACAACATCATGTGCACGTGCAACTTGCAGGCCGAACGGGTCTGAACTCTGAAGGAATCATTAATAAGTAACTGCAGGAACATGATACGCATTTCATATTCGGGGCCGTCCATAAATGACGTCACGCACCTGTGACGATGTGTGACGAGGGTTCACGTAAAAATGCGCAACTTTAAATAAATATAGAATTGTTATAACAACACTAATTGTTATAACAACACTCCTACAACATCAGAGTGCAGCGCCACATTAAATACGCACTACGATGGCAATAGTTTAAAGCGATTTGAAGCATGTTTTATTTTCAAAATGGAAATATGGTTTTGAGGGGAGGGGGCAGATCTTTGTGACGTCATATTTGAGAGGGGGGGGGGTCTGACTTTTTGTGACGCCGTGTGATGAGGGGGGGGGGGGTAAAAAATCGTCCAAAATCGCGTGACGTCATTTATGGATGGCCCCTTAATTTCACTTATAAAGCGCCTTTTAATCGACGACCCTTGCGCGTTGGCACGACGAGTGGCCTCGTGGTGACAACGGGCAACACCGATGGGACGGCTTGTGGAAGGCGTAGAGGTATATGTACGTGTGTTGGACTTTTTTCGCACCGTACGTGGCCAACCGTTGTAAATCGGAGGCAGGGGGGAAGGACAACAATCTGAACACACAAACACCGTTCTCGTTTTCAATTTAGATTTAAACGTGCACAGCTCCAAATGGCTTCCTAATATCGGAATGAAGAGCGTTTCAGACGGCCGCAGAAGCGCATCTTGAATGGCAGCACGGCAAATACATGATATGCCAACAGCAGCCTGATAAACCTGTTTTATGCGTAGTGGTCACCCATCCAAACATTATCCCGGCTTAACCCTGTTTATTTCCTGCGTTTGAATCCGCATAACGGGCTGGAATCCTTGATTCGTTGACCAGCGCCTGCGTATCACGGTTCAGTCCACAGGCGGCTGTCCGGATGCGAACCACTGAATCCTCGGCAGTGGCAGCGGTTGCGTCGCTTATTCTGCAGCCTTAACAAACTGTTTGGGGCGAGTGCTTTGAGCGAGTTACACTCATGAAGGGACACCCGGGGTGGGTGTGTGCCAGCAACCACGCCCGGCCGTCCTTGTCTTAACAGTGGCGATGTTTACGCGCCACACCGGGTACTCGTTTGAGGCCGAGTCGACCTCGAGGAGGTCCAGAACCAGTTCGGATCATCGTCACTGGGTGTTGGCCGTGAGTGGGACTCAAACTCGAGTGGCCGAGTTCGTACCACAGCGTGCTAACCGTTCTGCCACCGCTCCCCCACTACCTGCCTCATTATTCGTGTTATCGTTTTTTTTTCCTGTCTCGTTTGCACCGTTTCTTTTTCCCCATCGCAGAAATGCCCGTACCATTCTTTGTACGTAATTGCATAATAATTTACGGGCCTCTGTCGATCCACGGGTTCGCGAAGAAGAGGGCCCCCAAAAATGTTTGGTTCAATTATATCACTCGCAACCGATCTTAGCCTTGGCCACAGCCGGCAATCGGACTCGGGTAGCCAGATTTGTAGCGGATTGCGCGCTAATCACACCGCCACCGCTTCCTCCTAGTTATTATATATGCCAACCCACCCACACACGCACACCACAGTGGAAATTTCCCTGAGCTTGTGCATTTCATGGCATTGTGTGTTAGGTCAGGGAAGGGAGTGGTTCGCGCAGTGGTTATATTATCACACGGCGCTGTGAACTTAAGCAACCTGAATTTGATTTCCGGTCATGAATCACCTTTTTAGCGCAAATGTTGTTGTCATTAACCCCCCCCCCCACCAAACCACTTGACAAGATTGTCACGTTTACAAAGATACTTATCTACATTCTTAAGCTACCAGAGAGGAAGAGGGAGCTTCACGCTCCCGTTGAAGAACCGCGCTGCTGAGATGTTAACTCCCTCGCATGGTATACAGGAGATCGTGGGTTCGATCCCATACCGTGTCAGCCCACACGATTTACCCCGTATTCCTGTACATGGAAATTGAGTTTGGGGCCGTCCAAAAATGACGTCACGTGATTTTGGACGAATTTTGACCTCCCCTCGTCACACGGCGTCACAAAAAGTCAGACCCCCCCCTCAAATATGACGTCACAAAGCTCTGCCCCCCCCCCCCTCCCAAGTAAAACATGCTTCAAATCGCTTTCAACTATTGTCATTGTAGTGCGTATTTAATGTGGCGCTGCACTCTAATGTTGTAGGAGAAAACATTTATTAAAAAGTCTATTTAATTAAGTAGAACGTGTTGTCTATATTTATTTAAAGTTGCGCATTTTGATGTGACGTCACATTTCTCAACCCCCCCCCCCCTCGTCACACATCGTCACAAATGTCTGACCCACCCCCCCCCCCCCAGGTGCGTGACGTCATTTATGGTCGGCCCCTTTTAGGTCCATGCGGCGTACAGCCGTTTCAATACGCCCCTAACCCAGCTTAAATATACGCTGCCAAGCTTGGTGATGTTTATTCAGACGCTGTCTGAATGAACATGTAGGATTAGCAGTCATAAAGGGAGGAAGTAGGATTATCAGTAATAAAGGGAGGGAATTTTTGTAATAGTAAGGAGCTGCAGCAGCCAAACCACCACGTAAAAAAACTAAAATATAGACTACATCAATATCATCAATATACTCAATATACTCTCCAAAAAGCTGAGCTACTAATAGTAAGTCATACATTACACTTCTATGTCGCAAAAAATATATGCCTCCTGATAAACTTTTTTCTTACATCACATGGATATACCCCGTACTATACACTACCATAGACAAACCCAGCATTAAATTATACACTGCGTTACTATACACCACCCTATACCTTCGACTATACATTGTAATATTACACTATGTATTATTCAACACACCCTACTGTATACCACACTGCTGTATATTCACTATACAATTACTATACTATATATTACCTTGTACATTATATTAAACATTACACTTTTATACTATTTATTATTATACAATCTGCTATACACTATACCATTGACTGTCGCGTGAAAGGTACTAAGAGGAAGCAAAGATAAATATGTCAATGGGAGAGTGGTGGCAGGAGACTTGCAGCAGAGTAAAGAATCCATTCCCTGAGGAGAATACAAAAGTCAATTCCAGCGAGTGGACTGCGGTCTGAAAGTCACCGTAAACGTGAACACAATCAGTTAAGTCCCGAAATGGTTTATCACGTCCTTCCAATGATTGCTGAGCCAGAATCCATCTTCTCGGTTGAAATTGTCTCTGTGTTTGTATATGTGGATCGCCTCATGAACGAATCTCTCATGGTAGCCAGATGGCTTGCAGAGACCCTCTGTCTTGGAGTGGTCAATGTCATGTGAGCCTACTGAATTATAACAGTGATCTGCCACGGCTGAGGTGTTCATCCTACCATGTTTCAGGTCTGCTTTATGTTCACGGATGCGGTCTGAGACATGTCGTTTGGTTTCTCCAATGTAACTGCTACCACAGAGGAAACTTAGTTTGTAGACGCCAGGGTACTGTATGTCTGGAACCACGTCTTTTACAGACGGGACCAGATCACGGATTTTATGTACTGTGTTGAATCGGACCTGGTTCTTGTGTTTATTCAGGATTTTGGATATCTTTTTTGTGACCTCCGCAATGTAGGGTAAGGTGATGGTTTTGAATGGCTCCTCATGAGGATCCTTCTTAATGGTTGGAGTGATGGCTTTGCGAATTGTGTAGTCGGAGTAACCATTAGCCTTGAGAGCTTGGCGTACATGCTTGAGTTCACTGGCAATGTGTTCCTGGTTGGAGATGCATTGGGCACTATGGTGTATAGTCTTGATGAGGGAATTCTTCTGGGATGGATGGTGGTGGGAATCTGGTTTTAGGTAAGCATCCGTATGGGTAGCTTTCCTGTAGCCAGAGTGGCTCATTGAACCATCAGGTCTTCTTTCAATTAGGACATCCAAAAAGGGTAGCTTGCCATCTTTTTCGACTTCCATGGTGAATCTGATGGCTGGGTGTATGGAATTGATGTGGTCGAGGAATTGGTCTAGAGCAGGCCAGCCATGTGGCCAAATGACAAAAGTGTCATCCACGTACCTCTTCCATAAGGTCGGGCGTAGAGTGGCAGTCTGGATGGCGTAAGTCTAAAATTTATCCATGAAAACATTGGCTACAACCGGAGATAGGAGGGAGCCCATTGGGGTGCCCTCAATTTGTTTGTAGAAAGTTCCATTCCAGGTGAAGCATGTATTGGTTAAGCAGTGTCTCACCAGGGAGGGTTCCTCAGTATTCAGTCCTTGATGAACCAAGTCTTCAATGATTGCGATGGTGTCAGGTACAAAAACTTTGGTGAATAAGGAAACCACATCAAAACTGACAAGTAGGTCGTCTTGGGACAGGGAAATACCCTTGATTGTCGATACCAGGTGAGTAGAGTTTAGTACCGCAGATGTAGTATATATATTAGTTTTTTTTTACGTGGTGGTTTGGCTGCTGCAGCTCCTTACTATTAAAAAAGATTCCCTCCCTTTATTACTGATAATCCTACTTCCTCCCTATATGACTGCTAATCCTACATAATAAACGAGCATAATATGACTTTGAGACCCCCCCCCCCACTACCTACACATTCCACAAGTAGTGACTAATCCCATATCTGCATTTTCCATAAACATGCTAAATTCCTCTGTTGATATGTACCGAAAGAACCAAAGAATAATTCCTGCAGTCACGAAAGCTCCAAATTAAGTTTGAAAAAAACACAATAAAAAAAACCCCCCATCTGATCGGGCAACAACCTCGCAGTAGCTCTCAACGTGCAGGTCCCCAAAAACACCCCTCTAACATGGTAAGCGTCGGGTGGTGGTGTTCACCGCGGTCATTATTCAAGCTTGGTGGGGGGTGGTGGGGGGTGGAGGGGGGTGGTGGGGGGTGGTGGTGGTGGTTGTGGTGGAGGGGGGTGGGGGTGATGGTGGGGGGTGGGGGTGATGGTGGGGGTGGTTGTGGTGGAGGGGGGGTGCGAGTCGAGAGAGAAGTAGAGCAGCGGTGCAAGTGGCAGTGACCACAACCAGCACCAACCACCGCCACCACTTTTCCACCACTCCTCGCGCCTCGCCACCCAACGGCGGCCACGCACATTTATCAGCAGCGGCAGAAGCGGCAAGCCGGTGGTGGTGGCGGCGGCGGTGAAGGGGCCAGGGCTGAACGAGCTGAGGGGACGTTAATAAAACAAATACACGGACGGAGAGGAGAGAAGGAGACATCTCTGCCCCGAGACATGACTTCGAGAAGGTGAGGAGGAGGAGAGGGATGGAGTTGAAACTCTTAACATCCATCCAAGCCTAGTGCGTGCTCCGTCATCATCGTCATTATCATCATCATCAGCCATCGCCAATCCACTGCTGGATGAAGCATTGTCCCCACGCCCGTGTCTCATCGAAATGTTCCCTCATCGGGGTCGTGGTGGTTCAAGTCCACTGCTGTAATGGGGGGGGGGGGGGGGGGGGTCGGACCAATCGGTCTCTCTCAAAGCCATCATTTTCATCGTCGGTCATGTTCGATCCACTGCTGGATGAAGGCCTTATCCCCCCCCCCCCCCCCATTCTCGTGTCTCACGATAACATCGCTGTAACACTACGCGTTTTAATGCATATGCAACGTAAACGATCGAGATGGAATGGGCTGTGTGATGTGATATATTACAACAACAAAAAACTCCGTTTGCGTCGTTAATGAATGCCCGAGGTTGGGCCTAGTTGCTGTTGGGGCGCCTCGGTCTTGCCTAGATTTTGGCACGGGGCTGAGGGCTTCCTCGCCCCGTCGAGAGGCGGGCGGCGAAGGGTGGTCGCGCTATGCGAACAACTTTAGTCTCTCACAAACAAAAAAACATGCCATTTGTACATCTTGTGTTTGTTGCAACAATATGCTGCAGTGTCTAAACCTTTAATATCTCGTACAATAGACGTACCGTTAGGTGTCCGAAGTTATGCGACAGAGTGTGCCCTTTGGTTGGGATTAAAGTCACTTAAAATGTGACGTCAAGTTTTTGGGTTTTAAACAACATTTTATATTTTAGAGCGGTTAGCAAATTAACACGATACAATTTCACTAAATGTTAGCCCGTTGGGTCCCGTTATAGACAGCAGATGTGTTCTGTGGTGGAATTAGTCGTGTTTTTTTCAGCTGATGTACGTGTTTAAAAGTGTAGTGTGATTTGGTAAAAGATATTTGGACTTAGCACCATTTACAATTACGCAATCTATGCAACAAGGACCATTTTCAAATCCAAATGCTGCTTTTTACTGTTATTATAATTAACGTCATCCTCCGTTTCCCTGGACAGCGTATACAACACGACATTAGAGAAAAAAAAATTGGTTTTCATTTGTATACGTGTGTTTTGGGTTTTTGTTTTAAATCTATCCCACCATAATGGCATTTGCCTTCACAAATGTATCACTGGCTAGCACGCATGGGATATTCACAAGCAATGTTTTTGAAAATGGTAAGATGGGCAACCTTTGCACTTCCTCCCTAAGTACATACTCGAGTTTAGTTAAGTTGAATTGCATGTACTAAAACATGCTTTAACCCCGATGTTTCGTGGCTGGGTGACCAACATGCACAGCTGCTCGTGATAGAATGCGTGGCAACGCGGTTAACAGCAGAGGCCCGTGCCACAAAATCCATTGTTGTACCGTACTTGTTAGCTCTCACGTCATTGCCTTGACAAACCCGCGCCGACTAGCGTGGTGAAGTATGGTATAATAAGCTCCGCGAACCGCACGGTGGTAGTAAGGCATTCATCCAGAAGTGGGTTGACAGCACACATTTACATGCTTCAGAACTCCATTCATCTGCCTGGATATGGGGGGGAGAGTGGCATTTCTCGGATGCTGTCATCTGCGACACCGTGTACTGTAGGTCTGTCCTCTATATATATGTTTTAATGTTTAGTCGACGCCGTATTTCGCGGTAAACAGGAGGAATTAGCTGAGCTCCGGAGGATTAGCGAACCGAGGGTAATCCGCGAATTTCAGGAATGCGCGGATTTATGGAGTTGTGCTTTACACTGCATTGAAACATGCAATTTTTTGCACGCTTGATGTTTTATCTGGAAACGTTAGACTGCTTAATGCTGTTTTGGTCAGTTATGTTGCACTTACAACTAAATGATGACATTTAAATAAAATAGTATTACACTTTATTTCAAATGCGGTGCACTATTTTGCATGAATGCCAGTTGTATTTGTTGCGATTATACGAAGTACTCTGACTTCTGCATTCATCTCGGATCCCTTTTGCGAGCAAGATGTCACTGGACCCTCGCTTGGTTTTACTCAAGGAAAATAATGAAGCCGTTAAAATGGATCAATTCAAATGACTTTGTCTACTTGACAGACCTGTTCTCCACCTGAAGACGGCTGCTTGCGTTGTGGCCGAAACGTCGTGAGAATTATTTTATTATGTTTTATTTTTATTATTTTCCTTCTACGTGACTTTACCGAAAGAACCAAGAAGGTGGTGCAGTGGTTAGTGCGTTTCTTAGTGAACCCCTTGGGACCTCAATTTGGTTCCCCTTTTACTGACATCGCTGGTAACTAATAACCAAACCAGTCTTGGTGCCACACATCTTCACAAACTCACACTGACCAGTGTGGTCAACTGTGGTCAAACAGTCGACGTGACAAACGCAGCATGGGGAGGCCTTCATCCAGCAAAGGGCATGATTGACAAAGTGTTCACAATATGCGGAAAAGGGCTTTCAGAAATTCCTGTGCATTCTAAGTTTTCCTGTAGGGCGTGGTGTAAAGGCTACACAGTAATGCACTGTAATTGTATATTTAAGTGTAAATGACTTCAAATTTCTATCTTTACTTTTTTATAATTTAAGTTAATTTAAAACAGAGTAATGGGACAGGTTTCGACATTTATAAAACATGAGATGAGATTAGAATGGTGAACATTTTTGGTCAGTGTTTTTTTAAAGTCAAGGTTTTACATGAGACAATCAATACCTGTTGTAGTAGACTACAAACTAAGTGCTTTGTCTTACACTAACTCTGCTTAGATTTTGCAGTCTGATGACATTGGGCGCATTAGAACATGGTGGTTATAAATTGACAAAAAATGTAGATAACTTTTGTCATATGTCGTTATGGTTCACGCAAAACAAAAAGCTGGAAAGGTATGAGCCCGAATGATGCTTGGATGGGCCACCCCCAGGTAGAACGGATTGTCATAGGCTGCTGCGAGGCTACGTGGTGAGCAGCAGAGGGCATTTCAGCAATTTCCATTGTTGCACTATACTTCTATGTTCCCACATTTTATTCTTCTCGCCTTCAGCAACCCACACATAATCAAATAATCACCATGACCAGAAAGGCACGCTACATGTACATTGTTTTTCCAGGTCTACTGTAGTCATGTACGAAAGACAAATCTGGGTATCCACCACTAGAAAAATGTGGTTCGAAATGACACGCAATAACATCTCGCGGTGCCTCCCAAAAATGTCGATCACTGGTGCTCACAGCTCGTGAAGAAAATCGTCATTTGGAGTTGTCCATTACTTCACTTTGAAAACAGCGTGAAACAATGTGGTGGTTAAGACCGTGATTTCACGCTGCCGTCGTGATCACACACTTGACATGCTACGCACGAGAGTATAGAACACGTGCGGTGTTTCGGTACTGAGCTATACAAATTATACAGTCGATAAAGTGTGGTACAATATTGCTAATTGGCGATGTACATACAACATTTAATATGGAAAGCAAATATCCTTCATTGCATTTTTGTGTTAAGTCTAAGATGGCCACTGCATCTCACGATTTCAGATGCGCTTCTGCGGCCGTCTGGAACGCTCCTCCCGATATTAGGAAGCCACTGGAGCTACGCACTTTTAAATTTAGATCGAAAACTCTATTCTTTAGTACTGCTTTTTTGTGTTAATTTATTGTCCTTCCCCCACACCTGTGATTAGCACGGTTGGCTACATACGGTGTGAAAGAAGTTCAACATACATACAAACAAAAGTGTCCAATTTTTTATTGGGGGTATGTATTTTACTACAGTTTTACTTGTCTAATAGAGTAGTAACACCACCGTATCGTATTTAGAGCAGTTCACTGAATCTCAAGGTTCATTGCCAGGAGGGTCCTCCTTGGGATGTTTGGCAGGAAGCATTTTTCTACATTCAAGAGTATGATTAATGCTATACTGATATCCAACATAGGAATGTGGTCTGTACAGCACTGGCTCGGAAAGATCCAGATGTGCAATGTTTGACCTTAAAAGCCACGATTGGGTTGGGACAATTATTACAATGCAGTATTTTGCAATTCAGCATTGACCACATAGCACTTCTGAAGCACGTTGCATCGGTTGATGAGTTAGTCCCTCGTTCGAAAGATAACTTACTTGTTTACGGTATTGTTACTCAGTATTTTATTAATTCTCATGATTCAGGGTGGTGTTAAATGGCCATTTATGGATTTTTTTTTAAAGCAGACATTAAAGAGATCCTATGAAGTATTTCCCAACCAACAGTATGCAATTGTGTACGGATGTTTTATCCACAACTAGCATAAGTACCCGACTTCGCCCGGGACTTGGATCCACCACGCCCGGCCGCCTTTGTCTCCCCAGTGGCGATGTTAATACGCCACACCAGTTACTCGTTTTGAGGCTGAGTCCCTCCCTCACCACTCTCCCTCCCTCACCGCTCTCCCTCCCTCACCGCTCTCCCTCCCTCACCGCTCTCCCTCCCTCACCGCTCTCCCTCCCTCACCGCTCTCCCTCCCTCACCGCTCTCCCTCCCTCACCGCTCTCCCTCCCTCACCGCTCTCCCTCCCTCACCGCTCTCCCTCCCTCACCGCTCTCCCTCCCTCACCGCTCTCCCTCCCTCACCGCTCTCCCTCCCTCACCGCTCTCCCTCCCTCACCGCTCTCCCTCCCTCACCGCTCTCCCTCCCTCACCGCTCTCCCTCCCTCACCGCTCTCCCCCCCTCACCGCTCTCCCCCCCTCACCGCTCTCCCTCCCTCACCGCTCTCCCCCCCTCACCGCTCTCCCTCCCTCACCGCTCTCCCTCCCTCACCGCTCTCCCTCCCTCACCGCTCTCCCTCCCTCACCGCTCTCCCTCCCTCACCGCTCTCCCTCCCTCACCGCTCTCCCTCCCTCACCGCTCTCCCTCCCTCACCGCTCTCCCTCCCTCACCGCTCTCCCTCCCTCACCGCTCTCCCTCCCTCACCGCTCTCCCTCCCTCACCGCTCTCCCTCCCTCACCGCTCT